AAAATTATCCCGAATGCATCTGTTATAATTTCAAACGACGTATTTACTTTAAACCTGGCCACTCTTTGCATTATTATTTGGAATGTGTAATTTTAGAACCTGAACAGAATTTATTGCAAAGAATATTCTTCGTTCATATATCTGTGTTTTAATATAATGGGGACTTTTCAGTGATTAGAAGAAAGTCTATTTGTCATTTGTTATCAAGACTATTTTTTTTGCTCTTATACATTCAAGTTAATTTTATTGACAATTTCTTAAATAGGTAATCATGTAAGTTTAGAGATCACTGTTCCAAAGCATTACATTTCGATAAAGAACGAAGAAATCAAAATAATCTAAATAACAGTGATGAAATAAATGAAGTTTGTCGTAACAGCGGATAATTGTGAACGAGAAGTATATGTGTGCAGAAGTGTATTTCATGGGCGATAATCAATGTATCATACAAAAGAGGTTGAGAAACCAGAAAGGAAGGTCAAAGGTCAATAATGGTAATCGTACAAATCATGAGAATAATAACAAAAACTAATTATAAAATAGCTATGTTAACTATCCCCACATTGCTCCCACCAGTGTCCGGAGGTAATGTGGTGTGAGCTACTTATATTGACATAAGTAGTATATAACGTGCGTTAAAAGAACGTAATGCTCGGCAGCAAAAGATGGCGAAGACCAAGAAAGGTGGAGCAAGAACATAATGGAATTTGTAAGAAAACCTATGAACAATGGAATGGGAGACAATGGATTAGTATTTGCAACTTGAACAGTACAGTTTGATATGATGTATTGATAATTTGCAAATTGACGATTGACTTTATGGTATTCAGATTTTGTTGAGATAGTCTGTAATTTTCGTGCTAAATACATTCGATTGTCCCCACCTGTGTTCTTGTTCACTACAGTAACACTGGTATGTACAACAAATGAGGAGGTAAAAGAATACATGCACACAAAAACAAAGTAAACACAAAGTTAATATGTAATGCTTTTTGTGGGGGAAAATAGCACTAATAGATATATGTATGTTACAAAATATGACATGCGTGTTAGTACTGTGAAATATTTTAGAGTACAGAGTTATGTTTATTTAGTTAAGCACTATAGAAGTGGAAATATAATTGATAATGATGTCTTAGGTTGACAATGATAATAATACATGGAACTATTGGTATATTCACAAGAAAATATTTCTTAATTAATTAGTGAAAAGCGTTTGAAAATTCACCCGTTTATAATGAATGTTGCCAGACGAATCAAAGTGTAACTAATTGTACATACATTGTGTGGTTTTTATTAGTAAAACAAATGGATTGAGTATTGTATTATATGTCATTTATTATAAATTTTTTTATCCACACAATAAACATAGCATTTAGGCTTTCTCGCTGCTCTACCTGAACGCGTTGAGCATGTGTGGTTATTACTTAGTTTCTCGTTGTTCTCCGATTTCATTGTAATTAACGGTGTAGGTTGTATATCTGAAATAGTATTTTATTTTTGGTCATTGTAAAAGGCAGGTTTTACTCTATCTGTCGAAACAGTTTCCTTCTTTCCATTTTTGTTAATAATGAAGTGATTGGTTGCCCGTTTAACTACTCGGTATGGTTGCTTTAACGGTTTTCAAACGGCTTCGACTTGAACAGAAATAAATTTGCACGTTTCCAGATATTTGTCGAGCTGTGTCTAACGTCTATGTTCACGTTGATGTATTGCTTTCAATGTGATCGTGTGTGCGTATATTGCCTACCCTATTTATCATATGTCTGTATCTTATCTTTGTTTGACTATAAATATCGATTTATGCTTGGTTAAATCTAGTTGGTTCACATACCATCTCCGACTAGTTTATCTGTCTCCTCTACTCTTCCTTCCCCTGATTATCTGTTCAGATCAACGATTGCATGAAATATGTGTACTCAAAATTTATTCTTGTGTTTGACTTATTTAATTTCATTAGTTACTAACGCAAGTCGATGAGTATATACTAGGGTGCGCTATATGAATATTTCAATAACAATCATTCAGTATCGACCTAATTAGAGTCAGATATCGGGTCACTAAAAAAAACAATATGATGGTTTGATGAAATTATGTTGATATTCTTAAATATTGACTCACATTCAAATCTTTTCAAACACTAAATCTTACAGAATCTACTTCGAAAGTCCACATTCCAGAAACTAACTTCATGAGTTAATATATTTTGATTCAATTACTGGAATTTTCTCTAATCTATATTTTTGATTGAGTTAGTTTATACACTGACAAACTCAGTTAGTAAATGTATCTTACCATTTAAATAGCATCCACCAGTTATGAATTGAAATTGTTAATATCTCGCTATTGTTACTAATGGTAATTTACTGAATGATATGACAGTAATAAAATGGACTGGTAAATTACTATGTTGGAACGATATATATATATATATATATATATATATATATATATATATATATATATATATATATATGCTCCGATAGACATGAATTAGAAATATTTCAGAAAAATAATATGAACTAATAAAAGCAACATTTTAAAGAGTTTATGTTGTTCAATGAACAGATGCCCCTGACTTATTCTTAAATGTATTAACCAGTTATGCAATAAATCATGTCTTCTAGAGATGGGATGTTATAAACTTTTACTACTAACAAATATATACATTCCGAATTGTTAAATGAAATGAGACACTCATACAGAATTCGCAAGTAACTTGTTTTCAAGTTTTGTATGTTTATGGTGGAGCGAAGATACTTTCTTCTCCATACATTCTACATTGTAGCTAAATACTTTTCCCTGGACTGGATTTGATTACAGTTACAGTGTTAGCTAAAATACCTCTCTGTTCTGTAAATTCTTGACTGACTGCTCAATTAGAAGTTCTATATAAGGAATATATGTATGTTCACTCATCAGTTCACTATATTTCATCATAACTTGCGCAAACATTTAGATCTTGATATCCCCTAAACAATGTCAACATAATCAATGGTGATTGTGGAAAATGTCGTCATTTATAAAAGAAAATAATAATAGTTTTGATTGCATCAGTGCTTCAATGAAGAAGCTCACAACATGCACCTGAACCGAATTATTATGCCTCTTCTAAACGGTATGACTGAGAATTCAACTAAATATGGTTAGGCTAACTGATGTATCTTGGATACCCTTCTAAGGTCCGGGCAACTGAACATCAACTAGACCAGTTCCAATCACTTTAGATCAATAAAATAATGAGCTTTCGCTCATGTCTTAACCATAATTACAGACTTCGTATGTAGGTCTGAAACTTCCAAACTGAATAATGCGGGTGGAAAATAAGTTCAGAAAAGCAGAATAATATCGCAGATACAAAGGTACTTGTTCATTAAGATGTTCATTTGAGTCTCATTGTCCCTGTAAATAATTCAAACCAAGCAGTAGTTACAGAATAGCTTCATTCTTATCAAAACACAGCAACCGATGAATAATGTTGATACATACAACACTTGATGATAGTTTTCATATTCTACTACCTTTTTCTCCAAGTCTGATCTGTCCTACGAAAGTGAGACACTACATCCGCTGAATGCTTTTAACCTATTTACGCATCATTGAAGCCATTTACTATAGCATCTACTAAAAAGTAGCAAAGTACTTAGTTTAGTTACATTTATTAGTTAAACCAGCAAAACTGGTGATTCCGTGAACTGTATGCTTACATCAAGTTACTGACCAATTAATTTTAACTAATCGCAGTTCGACACATTCAAATTTGTCTATTGACAGGGCATTTAAAAGGATATCTTTCGCTTTGTGTATTTTGGTGTCGTTGTGACCAGTGTTTAGTGCATAAACGAATTTTCATCTATAGCCTTACATTCTGCTTAGCATTGAGTCATTTCAATCTCGATACACTGATCAATTAGCAAATAATTTATTCCGTAGTCATAACAAACGGTCATACCAGCAGCGAAATCAACATTTTGCCGAATCATTACAACGCCCAAAACTGACTCGTATTTAATGAGAAATACATACATATTCCACGTGATCTGAGCCACTTAGATAAGATGTTCTCTACAATATAACATGATCAACCTAGTAGTGGATCGCTCCTTAAAATCCTGATCTTAATCGTTTTTCAAGAGCGTTGATCCAAGAATGATAGCAATTACAAATATGAAAATGTTACGAAACTAAAACCTACTTTTCAGCGTTAGCATAAACCCGGACATTGAAGTATTGATACCATATTATAATATGCAAACGAACCATCCGGGGAAAAAAGTCCCACTGACTTTACACAAATCAATATTTCATGAATCCCCTAATTTGCTCCGATCTTGATAAGTTCATCACAATCATATTTATTTGGTCTTGTATAATCTGCAATCACTACAAATGCAAGAATTTGACACTAACATGCATTATATCGCACACATTGATACGTTTTCAAGATCAAAATATAGTTCTGTCCTTGTTTGGTTGGGTATTGATAGTTTTTCTAAATTTGATGGATTTTCATGTACCAGATGATGCGTTTACAACCAGAATAGTAATGGTTTAAACCACACCATAAACGATATATTGTAAACCAGTTCGATATGCAACGCATGCACAAACAACTAGCTAAATAAATTTGGACAAACTCATTGATTAATGATTAGAATACTAGGTTATGTAGCAAACTTAGTACTGTATCAATTTAAAATACTGGGTTTCTGACTTTTTGAGTCTAATTGGAAATTACTTACCATCATTAATTGCCTACATACTTTTCCGTGCACAAACACATAAAGTGTTCAAGAGCTTTTGTTAAAGTACTTTATTTGGTATGTAATTAAATTAAAAAGCTGTTGCAGTAAATTTTAGTCACAACTACTGTTGGGAGAGTTGATGTGATTATCTAGTTTCATAAACCCATAATAGATTAAGTGGGTTCTAAATTGATAACGCAGTGATTGAAACTCTGAATTTATTTATCAACAACGTTAAATCGACAAAGGAAAGACTTCAAGATAAGATTTTTATTTTATTTGCTTGTACATCAATCGTATTCACAGAAATAGTGTTCAGTTAAATTAAGGAACGTAACACAGTACAAAATACATTCGGAAATGCTAGTCTAAATTTTTTTAAAGATGTTAATACTATCCAAGACTTCAATTTATTTTTTCTTTAAAACATCCAGACCAGCGTCGAATTTTGGATCAGCAACATTGAGGATTAAAGAGCCAGAATGTAGAAATGCACGGTTTTGAGACTGAGCAACCTAAAAAAGGAAAATTTAACTCTATTGTCATAATTGCAAACCTTTGGTTTGAACACATTTGACCAGAAATATGAAAATTAATTACTATTAACTACATTATACAGCTTTAAATGAAAAAGGACAGACAATTGACAAGCTTATTATTATGGTTATATATACATAGATTATGATCCGGAAAATATATTGAACAAACCTAAGCAGGACTTGTTTGACTGAAATAACAGATTACTTTCCAGACATTTAGGATGATCCTAAGTTTTGTGTATGTCGTAATCAGTAGATCACATCGTCATAATTAGAATCATGAGTAGTTAAAGTGCTGCGAAACTTTAAACAATAATAATAAAGGAATGAAAAAACATCTTACGTTGTTCTCAAAGAAGAAGAGAAGATATTTAAAAAAACACGAAAGGTGTCTACTGCCTCGATGTTCTCATTTAAGATTTGTGAATACGTCTCCAAATTAATTCAGTTCAAAAAACAGTAATTTTGCATACATTTCAAAAGCTAGTAACTATTAACGTTGGAGAAGAGATTATGATAATGGGTTGCGTAAAACTCAAAATTTGAGTTATCTTTGGGATGTTGATTTCATGAGTTTACTCTCTAGGAACTTACTGGTTAAGAAGACTGAATAAGTGGGATATGAGAAGCTAACTTAAAGTAGGTCTTACCGTTCGAGCAATTTGCGTAGCCGCTTTTATTTTCCGAAGCTTAAGATATCCGGGATTTTGAGAAAGAGCATCACCAATCAGTTTTGCAGCCTGAGCTTCACCTTCAGCAGTAACTATCTTCTGTTGACGTTCTTGTTTCGCACGTTCTACGAGGAACTGCGCACGCTGTGCTTCTTGTAAAGCAATCTAACAAATGAAGTTATAACAATATACGGATATTTAAAAACTAAAATATGAAATATTTATGAATGAATAAATAGATCCAGACAATAAAAAGTGGATGGCCTATTCATTGAAATCGGAATAAAAAGGTACTAGACAGTACATTTTAGTTAGAGCACCGAATTACAAATAACGTGCTAAGAATAGGTTGATGTCTAAGCTTAGTGTGAACTGTTTATCATGCCGCAGAGATCATTTGGCTCCTGTTGTAATGTCATCCGTTTAGGTCAGTTATGTGCAACATAGAACCTGGGACATAGATTTTTATTTTATTTGAACACACAAATATTGGTACAAATGGGCACCGGAAACATATGCGTTACACAAGCCACTTGATTTATGTGTGAGCGGTGTTAATGCCAGGGTGCCCAGACCAAAGCAGGTGGTCTTAGGGGGTCACACCCGGAGCCCTCGACCTAAAGGCCTGATCCACAAGGCAGTGGAGCAACGTCGGGAGATGCAGTACCATGGTAGCCGGCGACCAACGATTGGTTGATACGCCATTTGTTCCTCCAGGATACTGAAGCCATTGGTTTGGAATCAGGATTTTCCAACTCCGCTCGAAAGACCCTCCATACACATGGATGCAGTCGTTCAATTTGCCATATCTCGTTAGCACAAAAAGATGAAACTGTTAGGGCGAATCCCAGAGTAGCAAAGGTAGCAACAATATGAGTGATAACAGAAAAGACTAAATATCAAGGATGCGAGTTGAGAAAATAAGGAAAAGTAATTTAGGAACTTTGGATCTATGAGAAGACAAAGAAGGAATCCACCTGTGCCATCCCAAACGATTTCAAGTCTCTAGCTATTATAATCACTGTGCACACCACAACCAAGTAGTCTGGACCTACTTGAATGACTTTGTAAGTGCCTCGATAAACTGGTTCTGTTTTGATTTGGCCAACTCTATCTCCCTTACAACTTACTCCTACACTACCCATCATCGCCCGTCAAGGTAGGTGGTAGGTAGGGGCACGTAGCATATCTCCCAACCACCTAGGTTGATGAATATTTACTACCTCATCAATCGGTTTGTCATTCTTAGTACTTTGAGTCTAACCTAAGGATTGCTGACTTGATGGTTCCTTAATATACTAGCAGTGGTCCGAAGACACCTATGATCGAGCTCTGCTGACCTACGAATATCCTCCATTATCAATGGCCATGTTCCATATCCATGAAGTAGAACGGAACGAACTGCTGGTCGCTAAAACTGTTCTTCAGTTGGCAGGTGGATATTACGCCTAAGACAATAGTGAGGAAAGTTAGCAAACGTTGGTCGAGATGTCTGAGTTCCAGACAACATTCCGTGAGACAAATTACACCTAGTGAGACTCGGAAATAAGTGGAGTGATAGGTAAGGTCAACTACTTCACCCCCTATCATTAGTCCAGACGTTGATGCATACCAATCTTCAAGTAACACTGCATTTGGAGGAAAAGAAAAGCATGCAAAATATACTTTAATTGTCAGAAGACTCCATTTTGTCGACGTCTTTATTGAACAGAATTATATCATCTGCATGTTTCAAGTCAACAAGTGAATTCCCTGGTACAAGATAAAGTACTGAAAATCCAAACGATGTGTTACCTCTAAAAGCATGTCTATGACAAAGTTAGAGGAGAGGACAACCCTGAAGAGCACCACATAAAGTTATCGATTTTGAAAGTTTCTTAGAATACCAAAAATCTACATATTGTGGACAAGAACATATATAAGCGGAAAATATTGCTTTCAATTAGACCCTCATCACGGTTTATTTTAACATGCAGTAATATTTACATGTACATACGGAAATATTAAACCAATTGAAGCAGTTTATCAGTCAGTGATAACAATCGAATAGATTGCATGAGTAAAACGTACAAGCAGAGGAGTAGAGTAATCAAAAACCTTACAGTCAAAGTACACTAGGTGGGAACAATTCCCGATAAACCAATGAATTGAGGTGCCCCCAAATGCCCTGGTACGGCCAAGAGTGGGGAGAGTCCGCTCTCCCTCTCGAAATACTCTCACACGGCCACGCGTATATAGCCTCTGCCAGGGAAGTCCTACTCACTGCCTTCTCGTGGCGGGGGTGTTGTTTACGAAAATGAGAGGACGAAAAGCGAATGTCCGGCGCTTTAACCGGATTCCAAACCAGTGGTGCACATGGGCTCCAGTATCCTGCGGGAACAAATGGCGAACGAACCAATTGCTGGTCACCGGCTTCCATGGGACTGCATCTCCTTACGATGCTCCACTGCCTTGTGGATCAGACCTTCAGGTCGAAGGCTCGGGGTTTGGCCCCCTAAGAAAACCACCTGCTTCGGTTTGGGCACCCGGGCAGTATCACAGCCCTCACACATATCAAATGAGATTTGTGTGGCGCATATGTATTCGGTGCCTCTTTGTACCATTATCTATGTGTTGAAATAAATAAATTAATTAATTAAGGTGAGTTTACCACTTGCTGTACAGAAATGACTACGAGATTGCGTTAAATTTACTAGCCCCTCTTTTATGATGACTACAAAAGTTGAACTTGCATTTATATTGTTGAAAAAGAGGATGACCAAAAATCAAGTAAATAAACAAACCTGTTTTGCTTCAACAGCAGCAGAGTAAACTTGTGAAAAAGTTAAATCAGTGATGGAGACATCATCAACAATTATATGGAAATCACTAGCTCTTTCGACAAGCTGTTTGCGAATCAGCAATGATACTTGCTGACGCTGAGTAATTAACTGACTAGCATTAAATTTAGCAACAACTGCCTTTAGAACCTCATTGACTATGGATGGTAAAACCCGTTCATCATAATCAGTCCCCAGCGTACGATAGATGTGTGGAAGCTGTGACACTTCAGGTCGAGACAATACGCGCAGTGTGAGGTTAACCGTTTGAAGATCTAAAAAAAGAACAATGAATGAATGGATAGAAATGCAAGAAAATAGTAGAAGCAAGACGAATACGTTACAAACTAGAACAGGATGAGTTGATAAATGTAGACACAACAAGAACTGATTTTGGTTTGTTCTGGAACTGGAAATACATTTATTAAGTTCACCTATAGTAACTGTCAAAGTAAATAGGAAATGAATAAGCTAACCTAAGAGACCATTGTTGAACTTATTATCTACATCAAGATGTGGTGAAAAGTTGCTGAAACTTTCGTTTGACGGTCCTAACGAACAGAATACCCGGGTTTCTACAAATAATTATCAACCCGGGAAATATTGGTAGGGAATTATAAGATTTGCAATGTCTCAAATGGACTAGTTTACACTTAAAGTAGTCGAAAACCGTGCTTTCCGTCAAACGTTGAGGTTGTCAGACACTTCTGAAGCCTAGCATCATTGAAAGTAAGTAACAACCCAGCTTTTATTTGCTGAGGAGGGTCATTTATGTAAATTAGAAAGAAAGCTTCTGGTATCGAGCTCTGTGAGACTAGGTCTGAGAAAACCAGTAACCTGCACAGATCCTAAAAAAGTAAATTAATGAGTTTAACAGTGAAGACTGTGTACTTAGTACCTGAAGTTTATTGATAGGGCACATGTACTTAAATTTATCGAAAGCTTTTAAAAAATTGTGGCGTATTATGCCACTCCTATCCATACGATCACATGAGATAGTCAGTGTTGGTCTTAACGACCTGGGAGTGTGACCGCAGAGCCCAAGGGACAACTGCTTGAGGCCGGTCGCGCACGGCCCTTTCGTGGAAGGTTTTGAATGTGTTAGTGCTGTTCTTCAAAAGGCCTTACCGCCGGAGACGGGAATCCGTGAGGTAAGGTGTGACATTTTTAAGGTCGGCCTTTTCTAACCCCACACCTCCTTGTGGGAAGGCAGCATCGCTGCAGATACTGGTTGTCCGGGGGAAACACCTTACTGCTGTCACACCCCTCTACAGTCAGCAGTATGACTTTGCCCTCAGACATGAGATAGTTCATCAACCGCACTCAACGGGTTCATCATGCATAAGTGGCTCTTCTTAAAACCGTGCTGACGGGGTGAAGCAAAGCTAACTGACATTAAACAGCTGCACATTACACCGTAAAGTGAGGGACTTTATGATATTTGAGTATATTACAAGTGCTGCAAATCGACAGTTTAATTTGAGCGAAAATATCCACATCAGAGGACAAAAATTGTCGGTTGAACTTGTTTATAACTGATATATATATATATATATATATATATATATATATATATATAAATTATTGACCTTGGTTACTAACCTTTGCTACCAGTTGGTGACGTTATTTTTCGTGGTCGAGATCTAATATCATATATAATAGGGTACTGAAACCACGGGATTCTAAAATAATTTATTTAAGTCAACCAAAATACCTGAAGTGTAGGCCTTCGGTAAATATTTCATCTTGCACTCCACCAATACGACTAAACATGATTGCTCGATGGCCTCCATCAACTATTTGACTTAACTGTGTTTATTTTGTCCAACTTACCTGTATATAACGACTGAGACAAGCCTAAAGTAAGAGCTGCAGCAGCACCAATGAAACCCCCACCTATGATACCGACATTTGCGATATTTCTTAGACTGTTCATTTTAAACGCATGCGTACCGCAGTATTTCGACTTCTCGCTCTTCAGTCTTCAGTTTTCAGTAATAAGGATAGTAGGTTGATGAACCTGTGTTAATCCTGACACATTGCTTTCCAGTGAAGGTCCAGCTTTTCCTTAAAAGTATTCACTGATAGTGTAACGGTATTGAGGGTAAACCTCTTCCATGCGTTCAAGAGCATAAAGACTTAGGAGTAATATTAAGTCATGATTTAAAAACAACTACGCATTACAAAGCAGCCGCTGTCAAAGGTTTTCGTGCGTTATGGTCACTTCGACGAGCGTTCAAATCTTTTGACGACGAAATGTTTCGAATTTTATATCCCATATATGTTAGACCACATTTAGAGTACTGTATCCAAGCAGCTAGTCCGTGTTTGGTAAAGGATACTAACTCCCTTGAGCGTGTCCAGCGTGTGGGAACGAAATTAGTGAGGGGTCTTTCTAGACTCCCTTACGACGAGCGTTCAAAATGCTGAAAACATTTCCCCTTGTCGTATCGTAGGACACGAGGTGACCTTATATTGGCATTTCGTATCTTTAATTATGATTTGGGTGCCAATACATCAACCAATTTTACAGAAACGACCACAAATATCCTTTGGTAAATATGAAATACCGAATAGAAAAGAATAATCCTCGCCTTCGATGTTCCAAAGGAAGTTGTCATTACAATGTGGATAGTTTCAACAAGTTATGTTTAGCTGTGTGTAAAGAACCTACCGATGAAATCTCCTCTATCTTCGTTCCCTCACTTTCTGGTGACATACTTTCCTATCATCACTTTTGGTTTGGAAGACCATGTAAACCTCGAGGACCGAAACATAGTCCATCGTAAAACAATCTGGCATGACGTCGTAGCGGTAAATAAATCCCCAAACTAAATAGCTCTGTAAGTTTTCGACATTGGATGCTGACCGTATGTTTTAGTGGACTCATCTAGCTGAAGGCGCTCGGTCATGCATCCGCATCAGATCACGTGTGGTAACGCTGTGCTCAGTATCTACCGAAATCGCTAGCCAGATTAGATCAGAGAATTCCGATATACTGGTTATGGCCAAATACATTCTTCCGATCTCCTCGACTCTGTCTTCAGATTTCTCTAGGTGGGAACAAATTATATTAGGTGTTAATGGTAGAAGCGTTGCCAAACACTGAATACCTGTATCATCCTTCATTGGTGAGCCCGACGTGATACGGTACACCTAATTGCAACTGTGAGTCTGTTCCTTTTTAGGATTTTTTATATATCATTGCCTTATTTTTTAATTTTTTGAACATTGTGATTTTTTCGTGATTTTTCTTGGATATATATATTTTTCCCATCGTTCATTATCGTACTTCAGATTTCATCATGACTGAACAGACAACCAAAGTACTCAAGCTTAAGACTTTGTCCCCGCCTTCGTTTCAACTGATGCCTTTCTGGCCCGACAATATCGAAGCCTGGTTCTGCCACGAAGAAGCCAACTTCTCCGCGCACGGCGTGAACGACACACATGCACAATTCCTCGCAGTAGTCAAGGCACTACCGCGCGAATTCAACAGGTACGTAACACATAGTATGTTTACTAGTGATGTTTCCGAACCTTACGAAATCCTAAAACGTTCGATTCTTAAACGAGGAGACCTAAACGATCGACAAGGTTAGATCAACTTTTCAATAACATCAACCTGCAACACGGTTCTGCAACGGACAAGTTGCAACGGATGAGAGAGGTTATAGGCGCAAGAACTTTCGACGAAGGCCTATTTAAACAACTTTTCTTGTCTAAAATTCCTCAACAGGTGAAAACTGTGCTTGTCTCGTTTCAAAACAACGCCTTAGACGAGCTGGCTGCATCTCTCGATCGTATTTTAGAAATAACGAAATCATCTACTACAGAGGTATTTTTAGTCAAAGAATAGCCTCAAACGACTCAGAATGACATAACCGAGTTATGTCATACACTCACGCGTTATCTTAATCTTCGTAACGACCGTAATCGCTCACACAGCCCACGTAGAAGCATTTCACGTAAACGATCTGTCTCTAGACCACGAGAGACGGATAAACCCGACTGGTGCTGGCATCATAAGCAGTATAGAAAGTCTTCCAGAAATTTCAGAAAACCCTGCAATTTTCCCAACACGAAACCGACTGACTCGAAAAACAACTCGGGAAACTTCCAAGCCGGCACGCGTTAACGGCAACCGTAGCCGGCGAACATAGCCGTCTGTTATACGTCACAGATGTGACAACGACATTTCGCTACCTCGTCGACACTGGCACAGAAGTTAGAGTTCTTCCAGCGAATCCTAACGACCGGATTCACGAATCGGCTCTAAACTTACAGGCGGCAAACGGAAAACCGATCGCTACGTATGGCAAAAGGTACGTTTACCTTAACGTGGGTTAACGCAAACCCATTCACTAGATTTTCGTTGTTGCAGATGATTCTATGTCAGTCATTGGTATGGATCTTCTAAAACACCATAATCTGATAATCGGCACGCGCAAACGGAGGCTAGTAGACGGAAACACTAATTTATCCGTTCGCGTAATTTCTTTTACTGGTTGTAGATTATCCCCAGTCACAGTTAAGCATATGATAGACCCACTCTATCAACCACTACTCGATATGTACCGTGGGATACAACTAACTCAAGCGAAACTACCGTGTGTAACCAGCAATATTACACATCACATCACGACTACAGGACCACCTGTATTCTCTAAAGCACGACGACTAGTTCCTGAAAAGCTAGGGTTAGCGAAAAACGAAATCGATCACATGATAGACTTAGGAATCATACGACCGTCAAACAGCCCTTATGCATCTCCGTTGCACATGGTCCCTAAAATAGACAGCAACGATCGGCGTCCGACTGGTGACTATCGGCGGTTGAATGTAAAACCCATTCCCGATCGTTACCCGTTGCCTCACATTCACGATTTGACAGCTACCTTGAAAGGTGCAACTGTCTTTTCGAAAATCGACTTGGTTAAAGCGTATAAACAAATTGCCATGGCCACTGACGACATACCGAAAACAGCTATCATAACTCCTTTCGGACTCTATGAATTTTTGCGAATGCTGTTCGGTCTAAGAAACGCTGCGCAAACTTTCCAAAGATTCATAGACGACGTCTTTCGAGGTCTCATCTTTGTACATGCTTATGTTGATGACTGCCTAATCGCAAGTCCAGACAGAGAATCACATCTCAAGCATCTGGATCTTGTTTTCGAACGATTACAAAAACATGGCATTACTGTAAACGTTCAGAAATGCCAATTCGGAACTGACTCGTTAGATTTCCTAGGACACACTATCGATGCTCAAGGCATTCGACCCCTTAGGACCAAAGTGGCGGCCATTCTGGATTACCCAGAACCGACCACGATCAAGCAACTACGCACGTTTAACGGCTTTGTAAGTTTCTATAGACGATTCATACTTAAATGCGCTTTACTTATGAAACCTCTAACTGACCAACTTCGTGGAAATGCGAAATCCATTAATTTGAACGACAACGAACGAAAAGTATTCTCCACAATTAAGGAACTCATCGCTAAAGCAACGATGCTTGCACATCAGGACACCCGAGCACCCATTAGTATCGCAGTAGACGCATCCGACTCAACAAACGGAGGAGTCTTACAACAATGGGTTAACAACTCCTGGCAACCATTGGCATTCTTCTCTAGGCAGTTGCTAGACACGGAATCGAGGTACAGCATATTCGGTAGGGAACGTTTAGCTATGTATTGTGCTGTACGACATTTTCACTCTTTTCACTGACCATAAACCACTCACATTCTCTCTAAGTTCTACTTCAGACAAGTACTCTCCCCGTGAGTCTCGACAACTGGACTACATTTCGCAGTTTACTTCAGACATTCAACACATCTCTGGAGCAAGCAATGTAGTTGCAGACGCCTTATGTCGCATAACTTCCTTGAACAGTTACCAAGGAATCGACCTCCTGAAACTCGCTTAGCTTCAAAAAGAAGACACTGATCTTCAGCACGAGTTATCGTCTATAACCCTTAAACTACGCATCAAACAGATGGTAACAAGTAAGGAAACCTTACTTTGTGACACGTCTACAGGTAGGGATCGCCCAATCATGCTGAAACATTATCGACGCAATGTCTTCAATACGTTGCACAAACTTTCTCATCCAGGTGTTCGTGCAACCATCAAGCTTATAACAGAACGGTTTTGCTGGCCTGGTATAAATAAAGACGTGAGGGAGTGGTCACACTCCTGTGTAAGCTGCCAAAAATCTAAGGTCATCAGACACAATAAATGTCCCTTAGGCTCATTTAAAACTCCCGATGCTCGTTTCGACCATGTTCATCTGGATTTGGTAGGACCTTTACCAGATTCAAATGGATACTCTAACCTCTTAACCTGTGTAGATCGTTTCACTCAATGGCCAGAAGCAGTACTTATCAAGGACATCACTGCTAAAACAGTGGCCCGCACATTCGTCGAACGACGGGTAGCAAACTTCGTTTGCCCTTCAACCATCACTACAGACCGCGAACGTCAGTTTGAGTCTGAACTTTTCCGTCGTCTGACCACACTATTAGGAACCGCTCGCTTCCGAACGACTGCCTACCATCCACAAGCAAACGGGTTGGTAGAACGTTTTCACCGACAACTAAAAGCTTCACTATCAGCTGCAAACGTTTCACAGTGAAACGACGCTCTTCCACTCGTCTAACTAGGTATCCGCAATTCACTGAAAGCTGACATTGGATACACTGCAGCTCAACTCGTTTATGGAAAGACACTTCAACATCCAGGAGAAATCGTGGATCCTTCATCCTCTTCAATAAACATGGATCTAACCTCCTATACGAACAGGCTTACAAACGCAATACGTTCAGTTAAACCTGTTTCCACACGACCACAATCCACCAATGTTTTCGTTCAACCTGACTTAAAATATAGTACACACGTTTTCGTTCGTCGAGACGCACATCGACGACCATTCGAATCAGCATACGAAAGAGCTTTCAAAGTTCTTCAACGCGAATCTAAGTACTATATAGTCGATAAGAACGGAACATACGATAGCATCAGCATCGATCGCTTAAAAGCAGCGTATTTAGAAGGAAATCCTATTCACGTCGATTTCCCCTCGGTACAATCGCACAACACGACTCCTACACTCATAATTCCTCAACCGACAACCAACACTAGCAATGATGCTCCGAATGTATCTGAAAATAAACTTAAGACGACGCGTTCTGGAAGAAGACTAAGATTTTCAGAACATTTAAACGATTATTGCACGTAAAGCACTACTCGACATTTTATATTATCTCGATCTTTCTTTTAACGATATATAATAATTAAAAAAAAACAATTTTAATATGCTTATATGTTTTGATTTTAAAAAAGCAAAGAAAAGAAAACAAATTTTTTTAACGCTATTACGTGTGCTTGAGTTTATTTTCTATTTTTTCACCGACATTGTGTTTTTACACACATGCAAGTGTGTTTTGACATGCACTTACATTTTCTTTTTTCTTTTCCAGGACGGATGGAAAAGACGATGAAAAGAACGATGAGGTTTACGAGGAACCAAAATTTTCATTGTACATTATTTTCTTATTATATTGTATTTCATGATTCGTCATAGTAAGTAAAGATGACCAGAAGTTGCTCAACCTAGCAAGCTATCAGAAGAGTGTTTACCAACGACAAACTCATTGGGTTTAAACTTCTGGCTGGCCACGTCCTAGGGTCATCACTGCCCCACTAGTGGGGGTGATCTGTAGCGGTAAATAAATCTAAAAAATAAATAGATCTGTAAGTTTTTGACATTGGATGCTGACCACATTACTTTTAATGAACTAACTTAGCTGAAGGCGCTCGGTCATGCATCCGCACCAGTTCACGTGTGGAAACACCGTGCTCAACATCTACTGCAATCGCTGGCTAGATTATATCAGAAGGTCCTCGATATATTGATAACCTATCTAATTTATCTCTGAACCTCCTCGATTCTATCTTTTGATCTCTCTTGGTGGGTACGGTTCATATTAGGTGTTACTGGTTAAAGCGTTGTCAAACAAAGAATACCTGTGCCATCTTCATGGTGAACTTCAACTGCTTCCAGCACTGGGACTTCCCCTTTTCTTGATTTACATATACTATATTCCACAACAGGTATCGTCACATTTGCTTTTTTTCACTGATGATGTTAAACTTTGGAGAGAAGTATGCAACCAAGAGGATAAACTGGCATTTCAGAAGGATTTGACTCGACTCCGAAGTTGGGCAGTTAACAACGGACCTGCATTTAACATTTTGAAGTGTGAAACAGTCCATCTGGGACACGTTACAACTTAGGTAACCCCCTTCTAGAGGTGTTCTAAGTTGAAAAAATCTGCGACCGTTGACACCCTATGATCTAAAGTCTTACACCAACTTCTAGAAAATGTGTTCCGAGCAAACCTTGCATTAGTAATGTTGAAGCGCATTTTCGGACAGTCCAATGGAAGGACCTATCACATAATCTTCAAGTGTTTTATTAGTCCCCTTGTTAGAGTACGGAAACAGTATTTGCTCACTCAATCCAAAAAGATAAGGACACTCTGAAACGTATCCAACGGCGAGTGACGAAATCAGTTCAAAGAGTCTAATTCAAGTCTTATGAAGAGCACATCCAATTACTGAACCTTTACCCATTAGAATACAGACATCTCAAATGTGACTTTTAAATGACCCACAGTATCCTTAACACTTCTGGATATCTCCTTAAACACCTACATCAGCTTAGTCCCAACACAAAACTTGAGGGTAACACCGAGAAACTGGAGACACAACATAGCAGAACGGACTGTAGATACACCTTCTCCATAAGAGTAGTCAAATGTTGAAATTCGCTGCCAGCCGAGCTACTTTAAGTAACTTCTCAGAAGTTCTTTAAGAGAGAACTTGACATATTCCTAAAGACTAAGGATGGTATCTCACTATGATTTACCAACCTTTTTTTCTTTTTCCTCTTTTATCGATAATATACCTGGGTTCCTCGCTTTAGGTATCGGTGATCCACTGCTACTAGATACGGAAGCCCGTTAAGTGATAGCTTCTTCTATTCCACTCAGAACCATTTGAAACCAAGGTCTGCGCACTTTTCGATGGTCACGTTACCAATGTACATTTATCATCAGATGTAGGTATCGAGACCTAGCCAAAAGTTTAGTGAATCCCGGGATGACTGGTAATCTGCCATGCGAGTGGTTTGTTTCAGTAACTCTTTTAGGTTCTTCACGTTTACGAAGACCAATATCACCATGGTGTACCATGATGCATCATGGTGTGGAGATGGACCTGTCAAGCTTATTTTGTAAATAGTTTTCAATGTTATTTGTATTTACTTTGTCAACCTTCCACTGTATGTATATTTAACATTAAATGACTGTAACTGTTGTTTTAGTAAATGACCTTGAACACACTTTCCGTTGTACTACTACATTGCGTGCCATACCGCTGCTAGCTAACAAATACAACGCTTCTCGCACACTCATCGTTCTACTTCCATTTGTGATTGAGATATCCGAAGTCTAAATCAAATTCTATCTTCATTTATAGACTGTAACCGAAATATATCACATTCAACGTTGGATTATATCATTAGAGAGTTCACCAACTTGTTCAGAATCAACAAACATTTATAATTGTGGATTTACTTTACTGGACCTAATCCTAACACGCGACGTCTGATCAATTTAAGTAACGTCCCCAATTTTTATCGTATTTGTGACAATTAATTATATATATTAATATTACTATTGATTTTAATAACTTTGTTTATATTTTTTGTGTTCATATCTGTTTGGTCCACCACAATTATTTGGTGAGCCTTGAATTCATTATAGACGTTTACTGTTTATATATATATTCATTTTTTTATTACTTGGCACGCTAGTCCATTTATATTTGTTTTTGCCATCATGAATTCTCCTGGTAAACTCATTGATATAGATAGTCCACTGATCAACTCCTTTAACTCTTCACAGTCAGAAGATAATGCCTTAACCTCGATCAACGCAATTTCAGACTTAAGACTACCAACGTTCGGCGTTAATAATCCAAGAATCTGGTTTGCACAAATCGAAGCTTTGTTCATGGCTAGAGGTATAAAATCTCAGGCAACAAAGTATGCTTATGTAGTTGGGGCACTCCCTATCGAGATTGCTGCGGAAGTCGGAGATTTAATCGATCACGTGCCAGAAGCTGAACCTTATGATAAATTAAAGACAGCCGTAATCCAACGCACCTCGGTTTCAGATGAGAGAAGACTGCAGCAATTGCTAACTTCTTGCGAATTGGGGGACAAGAGACCCTCGCAATTACTCCGACATATGAAACACTTAGCAGGGCCATATAAGGTAGACGATGCATTGCTTAAACAGATGTGGTTTCAACGTTTACCACAGAATGTCACCCAAATTCTCAGCATATCAGGAACTTCCGTCAATCTCGACGATCTAGCTGATATGGCTGACAAAATGATGGAGATTTATTCCGACAGCCAACGTTTGAATGTACTACAGACCTCTAGTGGAGACACGATTAGCCCATCTAACAGCATCCAACAACAAATAACACAGTTAACACAACAGCTAGCAGCACTACAAGCGACTATTTCTACCATACATTCTCGACCTGCCAGATCTAGGTCCAGAAGGAGATCAGTATCCAGACCTCGTCTTAGGTCACCCAAACGGACATCAGATACTTGCTGGTATCACGCGACTTTCGGGGAGAAGGCACGCCGTTGCACTAAACCATGCAACTTTAAAATAAGCAACTCAAAGGACCAGGGAAACGAGACGGCCAGACAGTGATGGCGGCGCCTGTTTCTGGCCACTACCCGAGCCGTCTATTTCACGTCAGGGATCGGATTTCGGGCTCAGATTTTTTGGTCGATACAGGAGCCGAAATCAGCATAGTCCCATTACACCTTTCTCAACGACGGCACTCGCAAAGTACTAAATTGTCTCTAGTCGCTGCTAATAACACAGTCATTAAAACTTATGGTGAACAATCACTCATCTTAGATTTTGGTCTCCGTAGACGTTTCACATGGGTTTTCATCGTAGCTGAAATTAAACAACCCATTCTCGGGGCCGACTTTCTTGGTGCTTACAGCCTATTGGTAGACATGGGGAAAAAGAAGCTTATTGACAAGAACACAAGTTTGCAGGTCAGTGGCACTCCTGCCTCGAATTACGAAATTCATGGTGTTCGAATGTTAAGACCTGAAAACAAAATTTTCACTGATATCCTGTCGAAGTACGAAAGCATAACCAGAACTGATTACCAAAACGAATGCTCCACACATCATGTTCAACACAATATCTCTACTACAGGACCACCCATTCGTGCTAGGGCGCGAAGACTCCCACCAAACAAGTTGCAGTTCGCTAAGAGAGAATTCGAACACATGATGCAGCTTGGGATAATCAGACAATCTAACAGTCCTTGGGCCTCGCCGTTGCATATGGTTCCCAAGAAAGATCAAGACTGGCGCCCATGTGGAGATTATCGCCGACTAAATAACCAGACTATCCCAGACAGGTATCCAATCCCTCATTTACATGATTTTTCTTTAAATTTACATGGAAAACAGATTTTTTCAAAGTTAGATCTAGTCCGAGCATACCATCAAATACCGATGGCGCCTGAAGATATCGAAAAAACAGCTGTAATTACACCTTTTGGCTTGTTTGAATTTTTGAGGATGCCTTTCGGACTAAAAAACGCCGCTCAAACCTTTCAGAGATATATGGATGAAGTAACTAGAGGTTTGGAATTTGTATTTGTCTATATCGACGACGTTTTAATCGCTAGTTCTTCCACTGAAGAACATGTCCAGCATTTACACACGCTTTTTGAACGTTTCAAAAGTTATGGTGTTGTAATCAACCCTTCGAAGTGCATATTTGGAGCCTCATCTCTGGAATTCCTAGGACACCATATTGATTCCCAAGGAATTAAACCGCTTGAAGAAAAAGTCAAAGCCATCTCCAGCTACCCAGAACCAACCTCAGTAAAATCACTACGTCGTTTTCTGGGAACATGCAATTTTTATCGTCGATTTCTACCAAATTGCGCCGATGTACTACAGCCATTGACAGATTTACTGAAAAATGATAAATCAGGTACCAAGAAAGAAAAAAACCAAATATTTAAGTTACCTTCTGATGCTAAAGTAGCATTCGAAAAAGCTAAATCCATGATTGCTAATGCTACCATGCTTCAACATCTAAATACTGACCCCACAACACAGTTGATCCTATGCACAGACGCTTCACAAAAAGCCGTCGGGGCGGTATTACAACAGCGAGTAAACAACTCGATTACCCCAATCGCCTTTTTCTCCAAGAGATTATCACCAACACAAGAACGTTATAGCACTTTTGGACGCGAACTCTTGGCTATGTATTTAGCGGTAAAACATTTCAGTTTTCTGTTACAGGGTCGCGATTTCATCATTATGACGGATCATAAACCCCTTTGCCATTCTTTTGGCACATCGTATGACAAACACTCGCCACGAGAAGCAAGACAATTGGATTACATCTCCCAATTCACTACAGACATCCGGTTTATCAACGGTCACTCAAACATTGTCGCTGATGCACTGTCTAGGAGAGATATCAATATGATGGTACGCAATCATGACATCAGCCTTGAAACTTTGGCTAAACTTCAAGTAGACGATGCAGAGTTGAAAGTCTGCAAAGAAAAGTCTAGCTTAAACCTCAAACCTGTACCAATTCCGCTTTCAGATGCATTCATCATGTGTGACACCTCAACAGGCAGCAATCGTCCGTTTGTCCCACATGCCTGCAGACGAAAAATATTTCAGCACTTACACGGTCTTTCACATCCAGGCATCAGAGCAACAACAAGGCTCATCACTGAACGTTTTGTGTGGCCGAAAATCAACTCGGACGTTAAGCGTTGGACACGTAGCTGCCTCCAGTGTCAACGCAGCAAAATACAAAAACATACTATCAGCCCGATCGGCGAATTTCCTATTCCCGACAAACGTTTTCAACATATTCATTTGGATTTAGTTGGGCCACTGCCCCCGTCCAATTCCTTTACCCACATTCTCACCGCAGTAGACAGATTTACAAGATGGGCCATAGCCTGCCCTATAAAAGACACTTCCGCAGAAACGATAGCTGGCGTTTTCCTTGAGCGTTGGATAGCAAATTACGGAGTACCGTCTATCGTCACTACAGACCGTGGTCCCCAGTTTCAGTCTATCTTGTTTCAGGAATTTACAAGACTTCTGGGCGTGAACCACATCAAAACAACAGCTTACCACCCAGCAGCTAATGGCATGGTTGAAAGATTTCATCGCCAATTAAAAAGCTCGCTGATGGCCCAAGATGATACAACCAAATGGAGTGACGCATTACCACTTGTACTCCTCGGTATTCGTTCAACCATAAAGGAAGACATTGGATGTACAGCCGCCGAGTTAGTCTATGGTACAACTCTAACGTTACCTGGCCAACTAGTCAACTATGAACCTACAACGCCAGGAGAGACTACTCACTTCGCAAGTCGCCTATTACAAACTATGCAGAATATTAAAGCAATACCCCCTCGTGAACACAACAATCGAGTCCAACTTGATAAAAACCTTGAAACGTGCAAATTTGTCTTTGTCCGAGTAGATACGGTTAAAAAACCATTGAAACAACCATATAAAGGTCCATATAAAGTAATTAAACGCACACAAAAATACTTCATCGTCAACAGAGATGGCAACAAGCAGACTATTTCTATAGACAGAATAAAACCTGCTTTCTGTGAAGCTACTCAAGTCAAGGAAGACAACGCCGTTGATAATCAACCCCTCCCACCAGCGACTGAACAACCAATGGAGGATAAAAAACTTAATACTAAGCCCCCTTGTTTAACACGCTCCGGTAGACCTATAAACAAACCCAAGCGTTATGTCCATTTCGTTGATTAAAAAAAAAGCAAAACACACACCTCTCTATGTCACACACTACTAATTTCATCCAAAATTTTTTTTTCCTTTTCACAGTGTACATAATCACATTTTTCCACAATTACTCGTTTTGTCAGTTTTTTTTAAAAAAAAAAAAAATTTGTTTTGTTTTTGTCACACTAATAAACGAGTAAACTCTGTTTAGTTATTCATTTATCTTACACAAACATAAACAGTTCTTTTTTTTTGGCTCTTTAGCATTTTTACACATTATTATTATCATTGTCAGCCAACCAAGGCATTAAATGACAGTGCCTTCATTTTTTTTTTGTGTGTGTGCTCATTATACTATGCTACATCTCTACTACACGTCATACTCATCTCCACATTTTTGTTGGTTATAACTGTAAATATTATTTTTGTATACATGTATATATCACACCCTTACATTTTTTCTATTATAACCAGTGTTACCTCCGGACACTCTGGGGGGAGCTATGTGGAGATGGACCTGTCAAGCTTATTTTGTAAATAGTTTTCAATGTTATTTGTATTTACTTTGTCAACCTTCCACTGTATGTATATTTAACATTAAATGACTGTAACTGTTGTTTTAGTAAATGACCTTGAACACACTTTCCGTTGTACTACTACATTGCGTGCCATACCGCTGCTAGCTAACAAATACAACGCTTCTCGCACACTCATCGTTCTACTTCCATTTGTGATTGAGATATCCGAAGTCTAAATCAAATTCTATCTTCATTTATAGACTGTAACCGAAATATATCACATTCAACGTTGGATTATATCATTAGAGAGTTCACCAACTTGTTCAGAATCAACAAACATTTATAATTGTGGATTTACTTTACTGGACCTAATCCTAACACGCGACGTCTGATCAATTTAAGTAACGTCCCCAATTTTTATCGTATTTGTGACAATTAATTATATATATTAATATTACTATTGATTTTAATAACTTTGTTTATATTTTTTGTGTTCATATCTGTTTGGTCCACCACAATTATTTGGTGAGCCTTGAATTCATTATAGACGTTTACTGTTTATATATATATTCATTTTTTTATTACTTGGCACGCTAGTCCATTTATATTTGTTTTTGCCATCATGAATTCTCCTGGTAAACTCATTGATATAGATAGTCCACTGATCAACTCCTTTAACTCTTCACAGTCAGAAGATAATGCCTTAACCTCGATCAACGCAATTTCAGACTTAAGACTACCAACGTTCGGCGTTAATAATCCAAGAATCTGGTTTGCACAAATCGAAGCTTTGTTCATGGCTAGAGGTATAAAATCTCAGGCAACAAAGTATGCTTATGTAGTTGGGGCACTCCCTATCGAGATTGCTGCGGAAGTCGGAGATTTAATCGATCACGTGCCAGAAGCTGAACCTTATGATAAATTAAAGACAGCCGTAATCCAACGCACCTCGGTTTCAGATGAGAGAAGACTGCAGCAATTGCTAACTTCTTGCGAATTGGGGGACAAGAGACCCTCGCAATTACTCCGACATATGAAACACTTAGCAGGGCCATATAAGGTAGACGATGCATTGCTTAAACAGATGTGGTTTCAACGTTTACCACAGAATGTCACCCAAATTCTCAGCATATCAGGAACTTCCGTCAATCTCGACGATCTAGCTGATATGGCTGACAAAATGATGGAGATTTATTCCGACAGCCAACGTTTGAATGTACTACAGACCTCTAGTGGAGACACGATTAGCCCATCTAACAGCATCCAACAACAAATAACACAGTTAACACAACAGCTAGCAGCACTACAAGCGACTATTTCTACCATACATTCTCGACCTGCCAGATCTAGGTCCAGAAGGAGATCAGTATCCAGACCTCGTCTTAGGTCACCCAAACGGACATCAGATACTTGCTGGTATCACGCGACTTTCGGGGAGAAGGCACGCCGTTGCACTAAACCATGCAACTTTAAAATAAGCAACTCAAAGGACCAGGGAAACGAGACGGCCAGACAGTGATGGCGGCGCCTGTTTCTGGCCACTACCCGAGCCGTCTATTTCACGTCAGGGATCGGATTTCGGGCTCAGATTTTTTGGTCGATACAGGAGCCGAAATCAGCATAGTCCCATTACACCTTTCTCAACGACGGCACTCGCAAAGTACTAAATTGTCTCTAGTCGCTGCTAATAACACAGTCATTAAAACTTATGGTGAACAATCACTCATCTTAGATTTTGGTCTCCGTAGACGTTTCACATGGGTTTTCATCGTAGCTGAAATTAAACAACCCATTCTCGGGGCCGACTTTCTTGGTGCTTACAGCCTATTGGTAGACATGGGGAAAAAGAAGCTTATTGACAAGAACACAAGTTTGCAGGTCAGTGGCACTCCTGCCTCGAATTACGAAATTCATGGTGTTCGAATGTTAAGACCTGAAAACAAAATTTTCACTGATATCCTGTCGAAGTACGAAAGCATAACCAGAACTGATTACCAAAACGAATGCTCCACACATCATGTTCAACACAATATCTCTACTACAGGACCACCCATTCGTGCTAGGGCGCGAAGACTCCCACCAAACAAGTTGCAGTTCGCTAAGAGAGAATTCGAACACATGATGCAGCTTGGGATAATCAGACAATCTAACAGTCCTTGGGCCTCGCCGTTGCATATGGTTCCCAAGAAAGATCAAGACTGGCGCCCATGTGGAGATTATCGCCGACTAAATAACCAGACTATCCCAGACAGGTATCCAATCCCTCATTTACATGATTTTTCTTTAAATTTACATGGAAAACAGATTTTTTCAAAGTTAGATCTAGTCCGAGCATACCATCAAATACCGATGGCGCCTGAAGATATCGAAAAAACAGCTGTAATTACACCTTTTGGCTTGTTTGAATTTTTGAGGATGCCTTTCGGACTAAAAAACGCCGCTCAAACCTTTCAGAGATATATGGATGAAGTAACTAGAGGTTTGGAATTTGTATTTGTCTATATCGACGACGTTTTAATCGCTAGTTCTTCCACTGAAGAACATGTCCAGCATTTACACACGCTTTTTGAACGTTTCAAAAGTTATGGTGTTGTAATCAACCCTTCGAAGTGCATATTTGGAGCCTCATCTCTGGAATTCCTAGGACACCATATTGATTCCCAAGGAATTAAACCGCTTGAAGAAAAAGTCAAAGCCATCTCCAGCTACCCAGAACCAACCTCAGTAAAATCACTACGTCGTTTTCTGGGAACATGCAATTTTTATCGTCGATTTCTACCAAATTGCGCCGATGTACTACAGCCATTGACAGATTTACTGAAAAATGATAAATCAGGTACCAAGAAAGAAAAAAACCAAATATTTAAGTTACCTTCTGATGCTAAAGTAGCATTCGAAAAAGCTAAATCCATGATTGCTAATGCTACCATGCTTCAACATCTAAATACTGACCCCACAACACAGTTGATCCTATGCACAGACGCTTCACAAAAAGCCGTCGGGGCGGTATTACAACAGCGAGTAAACAACTCGATTACCCCAATCGCCTTTTTCTCCAAGAGATTATCACCAACACAAGAACGTTATAGCACTTTTGGACGCGAACTCTTGGCTATGTATTTAGCGGTAAAACATTTCAGTTTTCTGTTACAGGGTCGCGATTTCATCATTATGACGGATCATAAACCCCTTTGCCATTCTTTTGGCACATCGTATGACAAACACTCGCCACGAGAAGCAAGACAATTGGATTACATCTCCCAATTCACTACAGACATCCGGTTTATCAACGGTCACTCAAACATTGTCGCTGATGCACTGTCTAGGAGAGATATCAATATGATGGTACGCAATCATGACATCAGCCTTGAAACTTTGGCTAAACTTCAAGTAGACGATGCAGAGTTGAAAGTCTGCAAAGAAAAGTCTAGCTTAAACCTCAAACCTGTACCAATTCCGCTTTCAGATGCATTCATCATGTGTGACACCTCAACAGGCAGCAATCGTCCGTTTGTCCCACATGCCTGCAGACGAAAAATATTTCAGCACTTACACGGTCTTTCACATCCAGGCATCAGAGCAACAACAAGGCTCATCACTGAACGTTTTGTGTGGCCGAAAATCAACTCGGACGTTAAGCGTTGGACACGTAGCTGCCTCCAGTGTCAACGCAGCAAAATACAAAAACATACTATCAGCCCGATCGGCGAATTTCCTATTCCCGACAAACGTTTTCAACATATTCATTTGGATTTAGTTGGGCCACTGCCCCCGTCCAATTCCTTTACCCACATTCTCACCGCAGTAGACAGATTTACAAGATGGGCCATAGCCTGCCCTATAAAAGACACTTCCGCAGAAACGATAGCTGGCGTTTTCCTTGAGCGTTGGATAGCAAATTACGGAGTACCGTCTATCGTCACTACAGACCGTGGTCCCCAGTTTCAGTCTATCTTGTTTCAGGAATTTACAAGACTTCTGGGCGTGAACCACATCAAAACAACAGCTTACCACCCAGCAGCTAATGGCATGGTTGAAAGATTTCATCGCCAATTAAAAAGCTCGCTGATGGCCCAAGATGATACAACCAAATGGAGTGACGCATTACCACTTGTACTCCTCGGTATTCGTTCAACCATAAAGGAAGACATTGGATGTACAGCCGCCGAGTTAGTCTATGGTACAACTCTAACGTTACCTGGCCAACTAGTCAACTATGAACCTACAACGCCAGGAGAGACTACTCACTTCGCAAGTCGCCTATTACAAACTATGCAGAATATTAAAGCAATACCCCCTCGTGAACACAACAATCGAGTCCAACTTGATAAAAACCTTGAAACGTGCAAATTTGTCTTTGTCCGAGTAGATACGGTTAAAAAACCATTGAAACAACCATATAAAGGTCCATATAAAGTAATTAAACGCACACAAAAATACTTCATCGTCAACAGAGATGGCAACAAGCAGACTATTTCTATAGACAGAATAAAACCTGCTTTCTGTGAAGCTACTCAAGTCAAGGAAGACAACGCCGTTGATAATCAACCCCTCCCACCAGCGACTGAACAACCAATGGAGGATAAAAAACTTAATACTAAGCCCCCTTGTTTAACACGCTCCGGTAGACCTATAAACAAACCCAAGCGTTATGTCCATTTCGTTGATTAAAAAAAAAGCAAAACACACACCTCTCTATGTCACACACTACTAATTTCATCCAAAAAATTTTTTTTTCCTTTTCACAGTGTACATAATCACATTTTTCCACAATTACTCGTTTTGTCAGTTTTTTTTAAAAAAAAAAAAAATTTGTTTTGTTTTTGTCACACTAATAAACGAGTAAACTCTGTTTAGTTATTCATTTATCTTACACAAACATAAACAGTTCTTTTTTTTTGGCTCTTTAGCATTTTTACACATTATTATTATCATTGTCAGCCAACCAAGGCATTAAATGACAGTGCCTTCATTTTTTTTTTGTGTGTGTGCTCATTATACTATGCTACATCTCTACTACACGTCATACTCATCTCCACATTTTTGTTGGTTATAACTGTAAATATTATTTTTGTATACATGTATATATCACACCCTTACATTTTTTCTATTATAACCAGTGTTACCTCCGGACACTCTGGGGGGAGCTATGTGGAGATGGACCTGTCAAGCTTATTTTGTAAATAGTTTTCAATGTTATTTGTATTTACTTTGTCAACCTTCCACTGTATGTATATTTAACATTAAATGACTGTAACTGTTGTTTTAGTAAATGACCTTGAACACTTTCCGTTGTACTACTACATTGCGTGCCATACCGCTGCTAGCTAACAAATACAACGCTTCTCGCACACTCATCGTTCTACTTCCATTTGTGATTGAGATATCCGAAGTCTAAATCAAATTCTATCTTCATTTATAGACTGTAACCGAAATATATCACATTCAACGTTGGATTATATCATTAGAGAGTTCACCAACTTGTTCAGAATCAACAAACATTTATAATTGTGGATTTACTTTACTGGACCTAATCCTAACACGCGACGTCTGATCAATTTAAGTAACGTCCCCAATTTTTATCGTATTTGTGACAATTAATTATATATATTAATATTACTATTGATTTTAATAACTTTGTTTATATTTTTTGTGTTCATATCTGTTTGGTCCACCACAATGGTACAAACCAGTAATGCTTGTTGGTAATAATTTATAGGTTCGAACGTTTACTATTGTAAGTTAAGATTTAGCACACCAACTCTCAATCTGTTACTAAGTTGCATCATCGCTTTGCATTCGCCCATTTTAGTGTGCATGACATGTACATAATTTATTCTAGTAGGAGCCAAGTCTTATCGGACTCATTAATTTCTCTGGTTATATATATATATATATATATATATATATATATATATATATATATATATATATATATATATATATAGTTGATTCAGTGTAAGTATGCGAGTTTCATCGTAAATCACACTCAGTAGTTTGATTGAAATGCTTTTCGTGAAAATACACGTTTGTTCTAATTTTTTTCCGCATTGATTTTAGTTACTATTCTCTCTCTGGAATATAAACTTAGTGTCCGATTTCATTGCCCTGCATAGATTCATTCCGTTTGTAACTGCTTTATGGTTTGGTTTCACCTACCGTTATTTCGAAGTTTCAATTACGTTAATCGGAAATTACTGTCTACGCGTGCTAAATTGAGTCCATTAGCCGATGCTTTTAATTACCATAGTTTAAAAACAAAGGATGAACATTTAAAAAAAACGACAGGTATCTTTTGCATAATATCAATATTTTTAATCATATAGGACTTTTTGGCCATCCGGTTTTGACGTCCCCTCATAGTTTTCAAAGTCTGGTTGAGTCTACTATCGGAGAGTGTCATGTGTTGTGTGATGAAGCTATTTCTCAGACAAGAGTTAGAAAAATAGTCCAGGTTAGTCTCGTGTTATCTATACTTCAACTTTGTTACATTTTTACAGCCACTTAGAACTGCTTTTCCATGCTATTAACGCTTACTAGATACTGTCGTTTATAAGCAGGTTATTTATTTACAAGAATCAAATGCGTAGAAAAAAACCTTATAATATGGTGAGACTGTGCTATGCCAACTCATCTTTCTCTAAACCATTTACACGGTTTCTCGCATAGTACATGGATCTGGATGTTTAAATATGCATGGTAATAATAATAATAATAATAATTTATACTCCGAAAAATAATAACTACAGAATTCACGCCAATTTACAGGCATGATCAATTTGATATAAGTAATAACGTTAGACATGCAGAACAAACATGTGATATAAGAAAGTTTTAAGTATACTAGTTCAGTAGTTGTTTAAGTAGCACATATATTACAGCGATCCAAAGCATCAGCCGGGAATTTTTAATATTTCTTATATGGACAGCCTGTTGATTTATGAACGGTGTAATTAAGGTCAGTTCGTGTGCCAGATCGAAATAATGATAAGCGCTCTAGCTTTATCGGTTGATACAAAACCATAGATTCAGCAAACGACTGATTACCTTCAAATAGTACTCATGTGTAACATCACTGCTTCCTCTATGGCTTCAATATATATGAGGTATAGTTAGTAAGAATCTGTTGAGAAAAACATAGAATCTGCGCTTGTATGTGTATTCACTAACCAAATTTCTCACTTTTGAAGTAATGAAAAATGACCTGTTCATTATACTCCTTGCTTGATAAGAAGTCGGATATTTCGTTTGGTTCGTGGATAGTGCGACCAATAAATTCCTCAGTCACTAGCTTTTACAGGTTAAGAAAACTTAAGAAAAATGATGTTAAGCATGTTCAGACACTTGATTCCTCAAAGTTAAATTGCCTGATATTCCCGATCAATCATGAACCAACATTTTGCAAGGAAAACGTAATGATTACATTTATTACACAGTTCGAAGCTGTTTCAGTATTTGAGGACATAACTTTGGTTGTCGTCTTATAATTTTGTAGAAACAAACTGGTTTGTATGGGAGACTTGTCGATGACTTACGTAATGAAAAGTTTTGGATCGACGATATCCTCGAATATTTTAAGAAGTCAGATCCATCACTCAGCTTTATAGTGGATCAGGAATGTGAGTGGAAACTTTCCTTCCTTGATGTCTTATTTACTAAAAGAAATGGTGGATCATTAGAAACATCTATGTACAATAAACCTTGGAACGGAAAACGGACATATTTTCACTCTTAGTTCTCAATAATTAGGAAATGAAGTCTCGGTAACTGCCCATGCTCACGATATCGTAAAATTTCACCAGACCATCTAAAGAATGAAATTTCCAGTTCATAATCTGCTTTTCTAGAGAATGGGTATTCGTCAAGATATATGGAGAGAAATCTGAAGACACAGCCTTTACAAATCAAGTCTAGTGGTCAAAAAGTCACTGTTTATAAACCTGATAAAGTATTGTTGGTGATATACTAAAAGACCACCTGCAGAGTAAACGACATAAAAAGACATTTAACGCGTCAAATTTTCATATTAACTGCTATGGTTATTCTCTTATGTGTCCGTTTGTGAAAGAAAAGTTACCAAGGCTGACTAACTGAATGTTCGTATACCAGTTCACCTGCTCATGTAGAGCTAGGTATATAGGTCGTTCATCAAGGCCATCTCTTTACATTTGGAAACATTGGACATCCGTTTCGTCCCCGTATGGTATTCTTCAGAAACACGTACCAACGGCCCCACAACTTGGAACTTCAGTTTAACCACGCAAGCGTTTAAGCTCTAGATCGCTCAGCGGTCAAAATTATGGTGACAACTATTTGCTTGTGGTGGTTCTTCTTGTGACCCAGAACCTCATGACATGTTGAAGTGGTTGCCTCTTTGATCGCTTTCCAGTTGCTCTCCATAGTAGTTCCCTCTCCATTGAGTAGATCATGAAAGGCCTGGAACTTATTGCTGAGGGCTATCTTAAATTTGTTGAGTCTGTCAGTATCCCGAAGAAAAGCCGTATTAAACTTTTGTGATGTTGTCCACTCCGTTTTCCAGTGCTTCTGAAGTTTCAATTTCATCTTGGCGACCAGCAAGTGTTGATCTGATACTATATCAGCTCCTCCCCTGGTTCTCACATCTTCCATCGTCCTCCTGAACTTTTTGTTGATGCAGATGTGGTCGATTTGGTTTTGCGTAGTGTGGTCCGGTGAAGTCCATATGGTTTTGTGAATGCGTTTATGTGGGAATATAGTGCCACCTATGACCAGTTTATTGAAGACACCTAGGTTTGCAAACCTTTCACCATTTTCATTCTTTTCTCTCAGTCCATGTCGTCCCATAATGTATTCATATCCGGTGTTGTTCATTCCGACCTTGGCATTTAAATCTCCCATCAGAATGGTCAGGTCCTTTGTTGGGCACTTCTCGATGATTGACTGCAGCCTATCGTAGAACTGATCTTTAGCGTCTTCATTGTCGTCGTTGGTAGGCGCATAGCATTGGATGACGTTCATCGTAATGCCCTCTTTCTTTGTTTTGAATGAGGCTTTGATAATCCTACGTCCATGAGATTCCCATCATATAAGCGTATTTTGTGCTTGTTTGGATAGCATCAATGCAACTCCTTGTGTATGTGGGGCATTTTATTCTTCATGGCCGGAGTATAACAGAAGCTCCCCTGAAGCTAGTCGTTGTTGTCCAACTTGCATCCAATGTGTTTCACTGATCCCAAGCACCTCTAGGTTGTATCTCCTCATTTCTGCAGCAATTTAGTAGACTCTCCTAGTCTCCCATATTGTACGAGCATTCCACGTACCTAAGGTACGTGAAATCTCTGGTTGTCAGAAGGGGCATCGGCCTCGTGACTTCCGAAGGAACTCGGCTTTCACCATGAGGCGTCATAGTTCTTCCAAATGAAGACCTTCTGACTCCCAGGACAGAGTTTAAATGGTTTGAATAATTCTTTCTGGTGAGCGTTTTTTAGAGACTTAGTTTTCTACGAAATGGGGTCGCTAACCCCATGCCCAACCCTTCTCCTTTATCCGGGCTTGGGACCGGCAGTAGCCCCCCGAGGGGCTCCAGGCGGAGTTCGTTGTTTAATAACAGTACCTTTAAAACACTTGACTGCATGTATAAAATGTTCAAGACGAATAGTTAAGTGTAGTAACCATTGCTCTGTTCAACTCCTTCTGTTCAATACACTAAACAACACTCAGGGTAAAATATTTTAACAAGGTTTCTCTATTCTCCCAGCAAATATCTATGCACGTAATAAAAATTAAAAAGTCACTAGAAATATTTACAATAAAGATCATCAAATGCTTATCTTTATCCACCAAGGTTTCTGATTGGTTTTAATTTTACGACGTTTTCATCACATAGTGTAGGCTAAATAAGGGATTGCAGAGCTTTTACATTTCTTTTTACGAGCATGGATTCTTATTTGATTATGTATCCTGTCATACAATAGACAACATTGTACATGTAACCGATGGTTTTTATTTGTTAAAAAATTTTGTTCGCAAGGTTTCTAATGACTATTTATAATCATAATGTAATCAAAAGATACGATAATAGCTCTTCTAGCAGCTTTCAAGGTTTTACACAACTTACAATAATTTCTCAAAAGTCCTGGAAAAACTAAAAGACAATATAAGGGATTAGATACTAAGCGAAAGCTAATGTCAAGTCATGGCGAAACGGTCTCATCACTTAATAAATTTGATGAAAACCACTTGTTGGTGTTATCAAAAGTACGGGATAAGTTAGAGAATCCAAAAGGAAAACCGAAATAAATAACATTTGACATAATCTTTATAACGCTTTCGTCAAAAATATAGAACTTGTCACTCGGGCTATGTTTAGGTACTTTCCGTGTCAAGTAACAAATCTAACATCCAAACATTTGGAGATAATGTCTCATTGTGCAATGATCTTCAGGTCATACTTACTTACGCCTGTTACCCTTCATGGAGGAACGTGGGTTGCCCACCAACATTCTTCACCGAACTCTGTCCTGGTCAGTTGTTTCCAGTTGCCGTTCATTCTTTTTATATCTGCTTCCAATTTCCGACTCAGTGTGTTCTTTGGTCTTTCTCTCTTCCGTTTCCAAATTTCATTTTCTGGTTAGCGTTTTTCTAGAAAGGTTGTTTTCTACGGGGTGGGGTTACTGACCCCATGCCCAACCCTCCTCCTTTGTGTGAGACTGGGACCGACAGTAACCTAGAAGAACTACAGGCGGAGTTTTCAGGCCATACAGTCCACATTTAATCAGTTTCTAACCAGTGTCCGTAGGTATGGCACCTTCCGGGTGCAAAGCACCTTTAAAAGGCTCTCAAGAGCCTGTGCATGCATTCGCTCTTGGTAGTGAGCAGTTTGAAGTAATCGAGTTTGTGTTTGGGTAGTTGTATAAGGGCTGTTGGTGGAGTGAGTGATTAAATCAATTTACTTATGGTGAAAGTTAGAGTGGCATATGCCAATTTAGGCCATCTGTGATGCCTTCTTGATGTTAGTCAGGCTGTAAAAGGTTGATGAAAACAGATTTGCTATGTATTTTTTAAACCTGACCTTTTCGAGTTAATGGTGTCAAGCGACTCTCTGAGTTTGATTTTCGTTGTCTCAGAAGGATTGCTGACATTCACTGATAGCACGTTGTTGGTAATCCGAAGATCCAGCAACGTGAGTTCGATTTCAGTGTCAATAATTCAGCTGGTGTCACGATCCTGTAATACCAACTTTGGTGTCTTCGGCATGTAACTAGGAAGCCAGTAACAGTCCTTCTGTAGTTTTCTTTTCATAAATGTGAGAGGAACTTCCTTAACTAAAAGAATTCTTTCTCTTTGTATTTTATCAACTAAACTTTCTACCACAACCAACTACTCGCATTCACTTATTTCTATTCATTCATTGTTTCCGACTAAAAGACTAAGCATTATGTTATAATTTGAAACAACTATAGCACTCAAAATACTCATTGGAAGTTTGTGAGTAAACTTATACGGATTATTAATGTCCTTTAATGAAAACTGGAGTATAAGTAATTGCTCCCCCTTTCTTTAGAAGAATTTACATGGTCGAGATATTCAGTGCATTTGTTGGATCACATCAAACCCTGATGTCTGTTGTTAATCAAAATAGAATAAAATAGAGAGGATTTTTGAGCATAAACACTAAAAAACGACACTAATTTCCAAAGTTCATATGTATATGTTCTTCAGAATATTTTCAACCTTAAACAGATATTGATTATTCATTTAGTTGTTGCACATTTTCTGACCTTTTCGTTCAAATAAATGTTTTCTGATTTTGTGAAATTCCTCTTCCATACTATCTCAAATTGTGGTTAATTAGGTTAATCAATTCTTTGTTTTATGTTAACTGACCAATGCTTAGGTGTATCAGACATTGTTTAATTTAAGCCTCTGAGTACATACTTCACCGTATTTTTCCTGTGTTTGCGTCTATTTAAATATTATTTTCCTAATTATCCAAAAAGATTCACATGTGCAATGTAGTGAACGAAAACCTTGGGGAAAACCAGTTTGTGGTTTAATTCAAAATTACAGTGCCTTCGTAAAATATAAAAAAAATACATTAAATACATCATTTTCACATCTTCCATCAGTTGTCCTTTACGTACTTCATGATTCTTTCAATTCCGTTGTCACTCTAATTGCTTTCTGTTACCCTTCCTGTTCTTATCAATTTAATCTTTTAGCAGGCGTTCTACTTCCGATTGCTGCTACATACTACTTATGTCTGTCAGCAGGAGTAGGATGCGCCACAAGTATACTATTATACCCCACTCATTCATGTATTACTACTGCTAGACCTAATTTCAATACTTTAACTTAATTCATCTATTTATCACAGATATTAGACGATCTATCTGATACATTGTGTCGAGTTGCTGATTTATCTGATTGTATACGAATGCTTCATCCAGATGAAGCATATCGCTATTCTGCACTGAAAGCATGTCAGTCAATTGGTCAACTTGTTGAAGAATTGAATACTAATTCAAACTTATATAATGCCTCTGTTCGTGCAAGCAGTTCATCTCAAGTGGATAAATTAATTCCGGATACACATATGGATAATGTTGATAAGCGTGTACTCGATTTATTTGTAGCTGATTTTGAACTATCTGGTGTACAACTACAGGATCCCTGTCGACACGAACAATTTGTGCGTGCAGCTTCATTTGCCTTAAATTGTGGTGCTAAATTTATTGAAGTAAGCGATATATTTTTTTCTTGATTGAATATTTTTTTCAGAGATAGAGGATTGAGTTAATTCTGAAATTATTAATTTTGCCGACTCTCTTGGTCTTTACACTTATATTCACAGCGATTACTTTTTTAGAAACAAAAATACTTCCTACCACTTATGAACTTGGATTCAATATTTTTTCAAGTTTAATGTAAATGTTAGATAAAACGTATAGAATACAGAAGTTAATTAACTATCTACTATTATCCAGATATTTCACTTTTATCTAGCTGAAGATAGTTCATAATTCTCTTTGTACCATACAATATATTCTCTTAAAAATAAACTGCCGTATTTATTAATAGTGCTTTACTGAAATTGTTGTCAATACTACCATGATTGTTAATTTTCATTGTAATGTTGCAGCCAATTTATTCAGGTATTCCACCTGTGAGTTACAGTTTTTAAAATTGATTCGCTTACTGAGTAGCACTCATTGGTCAGTATACTTGTTCCGACTTATGGCCCTGTCTAATATCACGTGACAAACCACGACTCAGAGTATCGATTTCTATGACTTTGTCCCTGAGCTAACCAATGTCACGTCAATCAGCACTCGTATCCACCGAGTGAATTTTCCTGAAGTTTGGTTAACAATGATCGGCAAAGAAGAACGCAAATTCGTAAATGAGACTGTAGACTTTCATTGACTGAGGTGGTTAGGACATGGGTTTCGGATGTTTGACTATGTACCTTGACATCCAATATTTCTCTGACAGGGAATTATATGATAAATAGTTAGGAGTGGCCCAATTAAAGCATATCCTAGGTCTATGAAGTCATTGACTGTCGGTATGAACCATGTCGTGAGATAAATTGTTCCTCGTTGTAACCTACAGAATACCCGTTAGCAATGGTTTGAGGCGTAGGATGATAGTGCGAAATCATTCGAAGTAGCAAAATGGTATTCGTGCTGAATGTTCTTGATTTCCGGTTAATTATCATTCATACGTCCCTATTTTCCGATTGTATTTGTACTCCTTATTTTTATATTTTGACTACGTCCGATATTATTATCCTATCCTCATCTTGTTCATTTCCTCTCGCTTTGGATCACCGTACAATTGTACCAAGTGCATTGTCGATAGAGGCTGACTGACTGAGTATTAATTGAAGCGTTTTTATTTATCGTTTGATTAATATTCAGGGCTGAATTGATGTCCCCGCTAGCTTATGACTGCCTTAAATGGATGACTTGATATTGATTGCATTTAAAGTTGTTTATTTTATGTATTTGTTTAAACACACAAACATTGGTACAAGGAAGCACCAAATATATATGCGCCACAGAAATCATTCGATTTGTGTGAGGACTGGAATACTGCGTGGGTGTTCAAACCGAAACAGGTGGTTTTCTTAGAGGGTCACACCCCGAGCCTTTGACCTAAAGGTCTAATCCACAAAACAGTGGAACAAGATAAGGAGATGCAGTCCTATAGTAAACGGTGATCAACGATATGTTCATACGCCATTTGTTTCCTTAGGACCCCATATGCCCCATTGGTTTGGAATTAGGGCTTTCCAACTTCTCTAGGTAGATCCTCCATATCCACCAACCCGGTTAAAGTACCAGACATTCGCTTTTCGTCCTCTCAATTTCGTAAACAATATCCCCGCTTCGAGAAGGCAGAGTAGGACTTCCCTAGTAGTGGCTGTATACGCGTGGCCATGTAAGAGCATTTCGAGAGGGCGAGCTGACTGTCTCCACTCTCGTCCGTACCAGGGCTTTTCAGATAATGAATGTCGATAAAATATAGTAGACACATTTCGTTATTTTCCTGACTAGTTATCCCGATGTACCTGTATCGCATTGTTGGTATTCATAGTACCCATCCCTTCATAAGTGATATTATCCACTGGATTATTGAGTCTCGATAGTCACCATTGTATAATCGGTATGGTAATATGTATGTATACCAAAGGTATTTTAACTATATTGAACTCGAACAAATTATTTTTCTGTGCAATCCTATAGTTAACTGGTGTTATGATAAACTTTTCAACTGGGGATGAATATGCTAAGTTTGACTTCAATACGTTCATTTCTAAAATTAGTTTACATGTATTATAGTGTAGTGTGATGTGACATTATTACCCTTGATTTTTATAAATATTTCGTTGTATATATAATGAATATTTTTTTGTATTTAAATTCTACTTGTCTTTTTCTTATTACATTATTACACGTTACCTAGGGTTGCCATAGTACAATAACTTATCCATCGAAGTATTCAACAAATAGTTATTCAAATTCAATTGAACTTGTTCATCCACTTAGTGATCATCCAGATCCTTCTATCCGTTTATCCACCTATTATGCATATTATGCACCAATCGAAGGCCAAGAAAAGTGTCTAGAACAACTTTTGAGTGCACGACATGAAATGGCACAGTAAGTTTTTTATTAAAGTGATATAATATTTGCAAATTCAAAAATTTCCATCTCTTCAAAATGTCACGGATTTTAACGGAATGAGAGAAGGGATAAAGGATTGTAAACAATCTCCACAATCCTATACTGGTAATTGTGAGCAAATTTACTATAACTGGGTTAATATCAATTTTATTATTTAGATCAATCTAGATTTGGTCTATAGAGAACAATGTCTTGAATGTATTAACCTTTCTGTCCTATGTTGAAATCCCTGTACACGGGAAAAGTAGAAATATACACTTTCTAATTATGTGACAATATTAAAATTATGATTATTGTGTAAAAAATTTCTTGCTACTGTCGATTATATTTCTGTCAGGTTTGAAATCTTGTTTTAAACAGGTTATGTTATCCACAGTAAATCATTGTTACGTATCGTTTTTAATGGTGCATTCCCCACAGATGATGACTCTTTTCTTTGAAAATTAAATTGAAGTACTTAAGTTTCATAACTTCGGTTACGTAATAAAACAACTGGCTTATTACAAAAGTTGGCTTTAATTATCTACTCTATGAAATGTGTTTTTGAAATACTAGTTAGAGAAATTAGAAAAAAGTTATCACTAACAACGTTTTCTTTAATGAGATATTTGAATATCACATCTGCCAAATGTAAACGTTCTTCGCTATCTATCGTTGAGAAAAACAGTACTTTGTATTGACCACCGACTTAACTGAAATAATTCTAATTTTAGAAAAACTCCAATCCATTCAGTTGTTATACAGCATCAGCCTTAAAAATAATCAACAAAATAAGTGTAAAAATATTGCCTTTACATACCCATTTTGTATCTTTCTGTCTAATTTCACTTGTAAGTACTGATCATCTACACATTTAGACTTGTCTTTGAAAAATACTAACTGCTTAAACTTCCAGTTCGATTGTTCCACTATTTAACCACAAACTAATTACGTCAAAATGTCAGGTAGTTGTAGGTAGTCGGCAGGAAACCCTTTACCTAGGTTTCGCGCTAGTTGTCACTCGCGAGGCATCCTTGTGCTTTTTAGGGGACTGCTACTTTCACGTGGATTCGAGACTGACTCATTCAGTTTCATAATCTGAAAAGCTACCAGTAAGCTATACAGGCCTCAACTGATCTGTAAAATCGAGATATTTAAAATTGATCAATCACTGAATAATGACCAACTTCACGTTGATCTCTAATCCATTAGTGCTGACCCAATTTTGTCGATCAAATCGTAATGTGGGCACTAGTGTTACTCTATATTACGTTCATTGTGTTGAGATGTTATGTGGTTGTAAGTAGTCAGCAAGAAACCCCAAACCTAGGTTTTGTGTTATCTGACACGTCAGCTAACCATACCTAAGATCGTCGGGCGACTGACAAACTGAATGATGTGTGGTAGTGAAAGTAAATCTAAGTGTGGACAAATGCGCACTCAACTCACTATCAAATATATGACTTCCTTTCATCTTATTGATTTCTACTTCGAACTCACTGAGAGTGATTGCTTGTAATTGTGTGGAATAAAGTATTGTCTGGTATTTACTGTGGTCCTCTGTTTTGGTCGTGAATCATGTGTCTGATATAACGCGATCTCTGGTCTGTTTGTAGCGAATCTTTCAAGTATCCAATCTAAGGGTATTATACATTTGAATACCCAGACCAACCTCATTATTTTATCATTGTATTAGTTTAGTAATAACGCAGAAAGTGAGGAAACTATCTCAAGTCATCCTTTATATCACTAAAGGACTAAACTAGGATGATTTTGACCATTGCTTAGTTATCGATCAGTTGAGAATACAAGTTCTCTTCTGTTATAGTCATTCTCAATGGTAATCATCTCAAGAATAAAAGTTCTATTAAATTTTTGTAGCATTATGATTATTTATAAAATAATTAACTTATGTCCCTTCTTTTTACTGTTATTTCTTTTCAGAGCAGCTGGCTTTGAAAATTATGCTAAACGTGCCACGCTCTATAGTTTAGCTGAAACACCTGAGAATGTAGACGAATTCCTTCAGCATGTTTGTAAAAAACTTCGTCCTATTTCAACTGAAGTAGCCAGAAAACAGTTATTACCAATCATAAAAAACTCTTATCGAAAAACGAAGATGCACAACTTGCAAACGGATTGTAATGCAAATTTAATTTGGCCTAGTGATTTAGCCTTTGCACTTGGTGTTAAACGCCAAGCATTATGTAGTCATGTAAGTTATAATTCAAAATAACCTTTATTAGCCATATTACTCATTATTAATATTTCAACCAAAATGTATTGTTTGGTATGAATTCGTATTATTCCTAAGTTAATCGTACATCTACAATAACTAAATATATTTTCTGTGCACACTTCAATTACAGTTAATCTTTCCTAGGAAAACTTACCATTGTTAACTAATCAACCAGTTTCAGGTTCATTTACTTGACTTTGAATCACACTAAGTATGAGGGGTAGTGGTGCTATCCTGTTGCCTGAACAGGAGTAGGTGGGAGTTCAATTCTATGAATTATTAGCTACAAGTCAAAAGCCTTAACTGCTAAAACACCGCTCTACTTCTTAGCTTTAATTTTACATTTAAAGTAGTGACTAAGGGGTGAGAGTACTTGTCTTTCAATCGACATTTCCCAGGTCCCAACCTTCCTGACTTAATTCTGCATCGAAAACCTGTAAAGAAGTGGAATGTGTAATTATTGGTCATTTTGCAACCCTTTTGTCCTTAACTAGCCTTTGTCAGCTAATAGGTAGTTTACGGTCATGCCCGACCGTAGCTGTTACCTTGACGTGATGATTGGCCTTGTCTATCGTGTTGACTCAACTGAGCCATATTAGCTTGAACACATGTCCTTTTAGGTACTACCGTACCGGGCAGATCGGTTGGAGGACGGTAAAACTAACATCAGCAACTTATGGTCTGAGGGCTAGGTCGTACTGCTGACTGTAGATGGGTGTGACAGCAGTAAGGTATTTCCCTTGAACAGCCGGCATCTGCAGAGTTTCTGCCTTCTCACAACGGAAGAAAGGAATTGGAAAAGGTTGGCTCTAAAAATTTCACACCCCACTTTACCCCACAGATTTCCGTCTTTGATGGTAAGGCCTTTTAAAATACGGAGCGAACTCATCAAAAAACTTATCATGAAAGGCCGTGCGCGACGGACGTCAAGCAGTTGTCCCATGTGCTCTGCGGCCACGCTCTCAGGTCTCTAATACCACCACTGATTCAGCTTTTTTTTTCAGGTCTCAAGAAGAAATATCCTTCTATTTCGTGAGCAGTTGGGATGTTCTAACCCACCTCATATCTGTAACAACACTCAAGATAATCTTGTTGACGATCAAATTCCTCCTTGATCGCTTAATAATTCTATCACTACGAATAACCCTTCTCGTATATCTTTATCACCAAGTGGTACCAATGCTAATGATTCGAGTTCACGAAGTGTTATTTGTGATCTACTAAAACTACACTTTAAACTAAATGTTGGAGTTCTCAATATTTGAACCATGTGTCAGACAGGACGACAGGCTTCATTAGATAGTACACCAGAATTTCGCGCCATCGACGTTTGCTGCGCCTTAGAAACGCGCATACAGGATCCAAGTACAGTCATCTATTTGACCTCACCTTGTCAATATAAAGAACTGGCACGATTTACCCTTCATGTATTTGGAGATCCCACTGCTACTTCCCTTCGTCTCACTAGTTAAGGTATGATGTTAAGTTCAAAAGCACAACAGGTTGTGCTTGACCGAATTTCAGTAGAAAACCACGTATGCATTGTCCAGCTAAACAGAAAAGTAAGAACTCAGAAAGACAACTGCCTTTGCGTCTTCGTTTTCATTGTCTGCGCTCCAACTGACTGCAGCTCGGATGAAGTTATATATGAATTTTATGTGAAGCTACCCAACCTCCTTCAAAAAGCTAAACTCTTATGTAGTAATAGTGACAGGTGATTTTAATGCTTAAGTTGGTAAACTAAGCTAAACCGAAAGACACTTAGGTAGATCTTACGGTGTTGCGGTACAACGAGCCACTATGCTCAGATAACCGTCTATTTCTGGCAAACACCAACTTTAATCATAAGTAGAAACATAGTATGACGTGATGACCTCCACGGTTACTTCATCGACGGACTCAAATAGATCACATTGGAGGAGCTCAAGTGAAAATTGTCACACATTCTGGAGCATATGTTTAGACTCGTATTATTCTCTAGTTTAAGGCACGTATTTGTCCATGTGTTAGTAGACTTAAAAAAGTCACAACCAGAAAACTCTTTAATGTTCAACTTAATGATGAAAAAAATAAGAATGTATTTCAGGAAGAACATCAGAAGCAGTTAGTCAACCATAAAAGTAATATTCATCCTGAGGTATCTTGATATGATATCCGAAAAGCTGTAGAAACAGCAGTGATACCTACTAGTAACTTTAATCAAAAGGTTAGGAAAAACCATTGGATTTCAGTGGTGCCTACTGAAGTGGTAGATGCTTGGGATCCCATCCCATCTGACTCAAAGCACAAGGAGGAGCGGAGGCAGCTTGACCATGAACTGAAAAAAGTCTATTCAATAATCGTGAGCAGTGATGGGTAGCGAAAGCAAAAGAGAAGGAAAAGGCAGCTGCAATAGGTAACAGTAGACGATTGTTCAGACTCATCAAGCAAACGGGTATTAGAAATCCTGTTGTTAGTGAGAATATCTCGGAAAAGGACTGGACTGTCATTCACCATCAATCCAGGTGGTGGGGCTGATGGCCAGAACACTTTAGAGAACCGAGTAGCTGATAGTCAGCCACACTTAAATTATCCAGTCTCTCCAAGCAACCTGAATGGCAAACTGATATTAGTCCTTAGACTCTTAGTGAGGTTGAAAAGGTTATAAGTAATCCAAAGCGAGAGAGAGCAGCACGGTCTGATGAACTAAGCACTGAGGTTTTTAAGGATGATGGTCCAGTTTTAACAGTTAGATTGACTAAAATCCTAGCTGAAATCTGGGAACTGGATGTAATCCCATCTGACTAGTCTCGGACACTGATCATCCCGGTCTATAAGAACAAAAATCCGCTTGTAACAATCATAGAGGAAACAGTTCAACTAATATAGTGTCTAGAATATCAGCTTCAATAATACTTCGACGTCTAACCCAAGAAAACTAGGTTGGTTTCAGACCTGAACGTAGATGTATAGACTAAATATTCACCCCTCGGTAGATTCTAGAACATAGTCATACTTTTCGACGTCCAACGGTGGTTGTACTTCTCGACCTTAAGTTGGCGTTCTACTCCGTTGACCTTCAGGTTCTGTGGCAGTGCCTGTCATTGAAAGGTATATCAAAGAAGTACATTAACCTTGTACAAGCTTTCTACTCGAACACTTGGTCGAATCAAAGCTTATAGCTGTCATCGAAATAAATTGCTTCAAGTGGTGTTCACCAAGGTTGTTCACTTTCTCCATTCTTATTTAACTTTGTCATAGACATGCTTTTAGCAATAGCGCTCATCGTCTAACTTTTCAGGGGTTGATCTTGTATTAGGAGACTCACTTGTTGACTTAAAATATTCAGATGACATAGTTCTATTTAGTGAAAATGCAGAGTCATCTAACCACCTTATGCAATTAAGTTTGGTATGCATTTCTCTCCCTCCAAATATAAGATGCTACTTCAGGATTGACTTGCTTCATCGCCTAAATTATTGATAGAGTTAAGTAGTTGGACACCGACCACCCGACTTATCTTCGGAGTCTCATCAGTATTGATGACCTGGTGCCTGACGAAATCTCGACACGGATTCAAAAAGCTCGTGTGACTTTTTCCAGTTTATGTCACTTTTTGACGTAGACGCGATACCTATCTATCAACTAAAGGACAAGTTTACTGGTCACTAGTTCGTTTCGTTCTACTTCATGGGTATGAAACATGGTTATTATGAATATAGGATATTCGCAGGTTACTGGTATCCGATCATACGTGTCTTTGAACCCATTGCTCGTCTATTTTGAGACTATGGAGTAGGTAATCCTTGGGTCGAAAAATAGGGTACTAGGTAAGGATAGCAAATCGATTGATGAGGTAGTGAATCTTTATCGACTAATATGGCTAAGATACGTATTATGTGTACCAATCCACCGCCTACCTTGAAGGGTGGTGATGGGTAGTGTAAGACTAGGCTGAAAGGAAAATATGGGCAGCCAAACCAAAACATGACACTAGTCCATGAAGTTATTAACAGTTAAACTAAGTCATTTTAACAGATGCAAACTACCTAGTTAAGGTCTGCGTGATCATCGTAACCACTGGTTAGAGATTTTGAATGACATTGCTCAAAATCGTTTTCACTGGTGCAGGTGTATTCATTCTTCGTCTTCCCCCAGATCATAAACTTCTGAATTCCTCACAACTTTTTATTTCACTGATTTATATTTTCTTAAATCTTATCTTTGATGCCTGATCTTTTCTACTACCAATAATACTGTTGCTACCTCTAGTACTCTGAGGTTTGCCCTAACAATTTCATTTCGAGTCGGTGTACATGTGTACCAGGTTTTATTTTACGACTGACTGACTAATGGTCATGCTATTTTAGTTAAATATTGTTTTGTATATAAATAGTAACTTTAATTTCCTAATATTTATTCAAATTGTCAACCAGTTGGTTAATGGTTCTGTCCATTGATTTGATAATATGAATTTCAGCTACATGGATAAATTCTGTGCCTTAGTGTTATTCCTATATTTTGTGACATCCGTTGCGTAATCATATAACACCCATGCTACAACAGTTAATAATCACTTTGGATCTGAAAAATCTAATAGGAACTTAAAGTAGATTAACTCACGCCTTTTCTCTTTTTTTGTTGAAAAGTTATAACCTTTTATTTCATCATAATCTCTTGTATCTATCTTTGTTGTTTATTGCAACACATACATAAGTAAGTTATCGATTCATATTTCTTCTACTTTTCTTGTTTTATAGCATTTGACAGATTATTTTTCATTGGGTGCATGTATGGAAGGTGTAAGTCAATTGGCTAATTGTCTATTTGGATTACGTCTAGAAGTTGTACCGGTACAACCTGGAGAAGTATGGCATCCATCTGTTATCAAAGTTCATGTCTATTCGAATAAGAATAATTCAACAGAACCAATTGGAATAGTCTATTGTGATCTGCTTGATCGTCCTGGTAAACCTGCCCAAGTAATTTTATTTTATTTAAAAATGTCTTTTATCAAATATTAAAATCTTTTACTTTTATATGATTTGTAATCATGTTTATTTCAGTGCTGACTTCGATTTACTACCATGGTTTGCTCCATGTTTTGATCATTACCTATGGGGAACAATTCAGGGAATAACAAACGATTCATGATTGATGTGTGGTTAGTAGAATTAAGATGTGTTTAGCTACTGAGTGTGGACGGACAGATAGACACCGCTTACTGGCTCTCAATTATGTGATTTTCCTATTATTGAATTATACTCTGGACTCATTGAATGTAGATTGTCTAAAATTGTGTTTAATAGAGTATTGTCTAGCCTGTACTCGGGTTCTTTACTCATGGACGTGGATCATGTGTCTAGTATTACGTGATCAAGTCTGTGCTTAGCGTATGGTTCGTGTAATCAGTTTAGTGGTAATGTAACCTCGGTCACTGGCCCTATCGTCGTATAGTAGCAGTATATCGCGGGATACAGAAAATATTTTTATTCTACCATTATGTCAATAATATATATGAATTAGACTGACTTGAAAGTTTTAATGGTTCAAACAAGCGTTGGCACATATGTAAAACATCCTGTGGAGTTATTTCCTCCATAAGTTACGTATACAAAACTGATGACAGCAAGGATGGAGCTGTGGAAATCAATAAAGAGAAGACAGTATCAAACAACAAAGAAGAGGGTCTCTCAATAGCATTAGTCAGAAACCTGTGATTATGACTTGCTGATCTGGGTTTGAAAAGATTGCGATATCACTTAAAACCGGCTGACGGAACGAAAGTCAGCAACACAACAACAGGTCAAGCTAAACTATTTCACTGTGGGCCAGCCCTGCTAACTAGAGGGAGAAGACCAGATTCAGCCGAAGGAGGCACGAACGAACAAGCACACAACTCATGCGTATATATATACAGTACAAAAATATCCTTGGAAAACATCACAAAATAGCGTACTAAAAGAGAAAACGAACTAATGAAATTTAAGGTCCTCCTAAGTGGGAAATACAAATTGAAGGTAAAAGTGGGCGCTTTTGGCACAAAGATGAGCAATCCGAATATCCAAAAATAAAATTACAAAAATGAGACGTTTACCAAATGATATCTGGGGGATCTGTGATTCCTAACATGATCATTTTGTTACTTTGTAAAAGCCTACTAACCGAGCAAATACATAGGATTCACGTCTACAACCTATAGGTTGTCTTTACCACTAGATATGAAACCAACCTTAATGTTACTTAAGAAGTTTTCGGTCTCTGTGGCTGATCTTTCATTCTGCACATATACTTCATATACAAATCATTTGAACCTCCATAGCTGTCTTTTATTATCCAACGAGAGAGTTTCATTTTTACAAGCTTTTGATTGCCTCATGAATTCCAATTCCATCGGGAATTTCGCACCAAAAAAAACTGCTTAAAATTGTGGCAGTCTGACTATTTTTGGTAGATATAGGAGATGCAATTGATGACGGTTATTATAGTTTTGATACGGAAAATTCAAAATCATTGCTTTTATGGTTCCAAAAGTGAGCATTTTATTAGCCGTCTAAGACTGCGTTTTTGTTTTGTGAAAGGTAAATGTGAGAGGATTAGAACGCCTCACACAATCGTGACGTATTATTTCAGTAGGATCCATGATGCTCCTATCAAACGGTTTCGCCATTCGATAGAATCGTTTTAATTTGATTTTAAATCAAGCACCTAAATCTTTGCTGTCCTCTGTTCACAGTTATCTGTTTCAAAAGTAAAATAGAAAAGTTCTGATGTAAACCTTTTATGATAGCAACTATTTAACCGACAGCGTACTTTCATTCACTTTTGTTACATATTTAGAATATTAATATTAACAGTTCTGTCCTGATTGTATCCTACACTTCTCTTTTTGTTTCTTCATTTATCAGGATTGTCATTACACTATACGTGGTGGCCGATGTCTAGATAATGGTTCTAGTAATCGATCATATCAATCTCCAATTATAACACTTCAATTGACGGTATCTCCGCCTGAATCGAATTCTAAACCACCACTTCTTAGTATAGGACAAGTTGAAAATTTATTTCATGAATGGGGACATGCATTACATTCTATGCTTGCACGCACACGATATCAACATGTTACTGGGACACGGTAAATAAATAATTATATATATTCTCTTTACAGATTATCTATATCTATCCATATTGTTAATGAATTATGCTATCACTTAAATGAACATTGAAAAATCGATTGAGATGGTCGGGACATGTGTTATATGTGCCTAACTATCACCTACCTCGACGGGGAATGTTGTCTGGTGTAGGAGTAGACTGATAAAATACTAGGAAGTAGCTAAACCAAAACATGACATCAATCCATAAAGTCAGTGATAATTGAACTGAGCTATTTTAATAGATGTTGACACTATGGTTGAAGTTTGGGTGTTTATTATAGTCAGTGGTTAGAGACTTTGAATGAAATGACTCAAAATTATTCGCATTGGTGCAGGCGCATTCATTCTTTATCCTCACTTATAACCTGAATGCCAAAATGTCTTTGTATTTCTTTTCCCATTATTATTGTTACTATTATTAATTCTACCATTCTAGGAATTTTATTTTAAAATAACTCACTGTGTTAATATCATGTGGCAATTTGAACTAATGCACAAATGTGTCAAGTTCTACGTTGTATATAACTAACTGACATGTGCATTTTGTATGTCATTCAGAATTTTAAAACAATATGTAAATAAATTCATTATGAGACAAACATTCCATAAGTAAACGAGAAGATAAACTATATTACTATTGTGACAATTAGATATGAATTCATTTAGCAATTTTATACGATAGTTAAACCGTATTATTAGTCAACTTCAGAAATGTTTCATATTCAATAATTATACATTAAAACTACTGTACAATTTCAACTTTACTATTAATAATATTCTATGCAGTTCAATACATTGTATATATTTAATCTTGCGATGCATTATTTTCTATCCTCCTATAGACATATATTTTCCATATAGAGCTATAGATAGATAGATAGATAGATAGATAGATAGATAGATAGATAGATAGATAGATAGATAGATAGATAGATAGATAGATAGATAGATAGATAGATAGATAGATAGATAGATAGATAGATAGATAGATAGATAGATAGATAGATAGATAGATAGATAGATAGATAGATAGATAGATAGATAGATAGATAGATAGATAGATAGATAGATAGATAGATAGATAGATAGATAGATAGATAGATAGATAGATAGATAGATAGATAGATAGATAGATAGATAGATAGATAGATAGATAGATAGATAGATAGATAGATAGATAGATAGATAGATAGATAGATAGATAGATAGATAGATAGATAGATTAACAAAGTGTCAACTCTTCAATGATTTAAGTCGATTATAAGATATTTTATTATTTTCTGTAACTTCGTAGTTGAAATGATACATATAACTACATGGTATCCAATAATTGTACTCCATCATCTCACTAATCAAGTGTTACACTAATTCACTTGGATAACTAATTAATTTCACAGGTTGAAATCATGAGTCAATTGAAGCTAGACCACCATGGAAAACCTGGAAGCACTGGACGGCCGTTTCGTCCTAGTATGGTACTCCTCAGCAGTGCTCATCCACGATCCCGCACCACGCGGGGCTCGAACCCAGGACCTACTGGCTTCGCGCGCGAGCACTTAACCATTAGACCACTAGGATGAAACGGCCGTCCAGTGCTTCCAGGTTTTCCATGGTGGTCTAGCTTCAATTGACTCATGATTTCAACCTGTGAAATTTCCTAAATTCTCCACAAAACTCATTCTAACTAATTAATTGTTTAAATTTGACGATGAAACCTTAGATATTTTAGTCAGTTCTGTAGATTAATAATATATTTTCTTATTTGATAAAATTATTATCTGTTGTCATAGTGTTTAATAGTGATTTTTATTCGAGATAGATGAATAAAATTTTAATTTGATCCATTAGTTTACATAACTAAGATACTCTTAGCTTTACAGGGTGATGCTATTGTATTGGTATGAAAATTCTGAAAATATTTAAACTAATAAATCGTTAGGGAAAATACTGATTACTTATCTGGTTTGGTTAGATTCTTAGAATCACTAAATCTAATGATTTTTTAGTGTAATTGATTGAACCGTGTTAAACGAAAGCATTTTATTCTATTGCTTTATCTTGTTTGAATACATAGAATCTGGAAGGTAGTAATTTATTACCGTTGTTAACATGTTGACGTGTAAATAACAGTTGCTTATTTTCAAAGGTTTTATTATTAGTATTCCATAGAAACAACTCTGTGTAAGCCTGTTTGTACATGATAAAACTAAAAAAGAACATCAATAGAGATGAACGGTGGCTAGCAGTGAAATCCAAGACGCATGTTTCTTTCCATTTGGGACACTTCAACTGCATGTACTGGCATTCCAGAGTTGATGTTCACTCAGGGACTCGAGTCCAGTACCGTTCGCATATATCCACATATGCCAAAAAGAGACTGGTCGAATATAGTCCTAAACATCAATGGCAGTATTCAAACAACCGATACAAGTGAATCTAAAAATGAATAGATTATAAAATTCGAACAATCAGCATTTCATTCTCTGAATCATCATCAAACACAGATTACAATAAGAACACATCAGTGGATTATAATACAATACGTTTGTGTTAAATTTTACAAATGAATCAGTAGGTAAACCCGAGATACTTTCACATTGCTCGATAAATTCATGTTCTTTCCTTTTTACTACTTAAATGTACAACCGTTAACAACAATCCTTACTAATAATGTAATGCATCAAACATTACTATGTGCTAAGTTTTCCACAAAACTCATACGTATGTAAACAAAATAATTCCTCGTTTTTCAATGGGTATATCATTTTCATATTTCGTGAGTAATTTTGTCAGTGATTCGGGAACAAATGAAAATAATATCAAATTTTCACTAAGATAAGTATTTAATCAAAAAAGTAAGCGAACTTTATCATCCGGACAATCTTATTTCTTATTGAAATAATAATCTTAATATGCTAATTAATCAATAAATTATTCTATATTCATTGTTATTATTATTATATTAAAGGTGTAGTACTGATTTAGCTGAATTACCATCAACTTTATTTGAACACTTTGCATTAGATCCGCGTGTAGTGTCAGAATATGCTCGACATTGGAAAACAGGTCAGAAACCAGATCCTAATGAAATAATTGCATTACAACAGTTATCCATTGGTTTAGGACTTGGTCAAAGTTTAGAAGTTAGTCAACAGGTATACACTTGTAATATATATTTATATATGGTTTACTTGATTTGAATCTTTTATGACTCACAACATCCGATTTACACATAGAAATGATTTCGGTATGCTTAGGCAAACGGGTTTGCAAGTAAGAAGATTAGAAAATGACTAATAGTAATCGGTAGTTATTGGAGTTCATAATCTTCAGAAAAAAACTACTTTAATTATGTTATACAATCCTCGCAGGACATTTCAAGTTCGAGTCAAGTCCTGAAGTTCCAGTGAGAAATGGTGGAGTTCATCCACGTTGAGAGTGAAACTGATATCGTCGATAACATTGAATAATGGTTGAAAATGTTGATCATTGAATTCTGACTTACCGGTTTAGCGGTAACATGCTGATCCCAAGACATGAATATCCTGATTTTGGCTATGAATGTGTGTTGGTGATGGGTTTAACATCAAAGTGTTCAGTGATTTTAACTTTCCAATGGTCCTTAAATGGAGCCAAATCTACGATGTAAACTGTTTCAAAACGTTACCTTATCGTTGAATATGCGAATACAGCTAGTGACTGTATGAGTTTATTTCTAAAGTATACTCATATTATCAATACATATCCAGTGACTATAAATTTCACGACAGTAAATTAAGTAGAATTTGATGAACAGGTGATGTCTAATCTCTTATAGTATAAATTTTGTAGGACATAGCAGATATTACCAGATACCATTACATTAAGAAAGGAGTAAAGGTAGATAAGCGTTGATTAGTTTTAAGTGGAAATGAGGATGACAATTAAGTAGAAAACAGAGTTTATAAGTTGTAATACGGACAAACAAAAAATTACAGTAATCAGTGGGTGAGCACAAAATATAAAAACAATTGTGTGTTATTTAAACAATGAGCTTGTTCGTTTAAGGGTCTTTTCGAAATTCTACGATCCCCTTTTTTTCAAATTGTTTACTAAATGAAGCGTAGAAAGATTAACATTTTATGATTAAGTCAGTCACTTTTTAGTAACAGTTGAATTTCTTTCATTTGTGCAATTCTTCAGGCTACCTATGCTATTCTGGATCAAGTTTTGCACTCAGGTCCTATTGAAAATACTTTACTGCCCTATACAAAATTAACTCATGAATCAAACGGATTATGGCCTGCATCCTCTAAATTATTATCAGATATTCAATATAAAGTTGGACTATCTGATTGGTCTAGTTGTTCACCAGCTCATCTAGGCGCATGGCCTCATCGTTTTACTCATTTAGTCAATTACGGTGGACGCTATTATGCTTATTTGATGGCAAAAGCTGGAGCTAATCTTGTTTGGAGGCGTTATTTTTCCAAAGATCCTTGGTGTTCCTCAAGTGGACAAGTAAATTTCTGTGAATTATTTAATTTGATAGGTTTCTACATCATTCTCGTATCATTTGACCAAGCCAAGACTAATGAATGTAGCAGAATAATATGAGTTCACCATATTTCGCGGTTTTATTACCAGCTACTGACGAACTCTAAACATAGTGGAATTAATCATCGCATCACACTCTTAGAAATTATTAGGAATAAACTGTTTACTGAATACTGGCAAGCAGTATAAAGCAATACACAGAAAACAAGTGAGGAGAGAATATGGACAGAACATGCAAACGAACTTCACAGCATGTAAGGTGATTTTGAATGGTTAATACTATTACATTTGGAATTCGTAATTAGCTGATGAGAAATCGTATTATTCTATTACGTTCATTGTTCTTGCTTTAGTCAAATTTATGGATGGGGAAAAATGTATGAAATTTTTGTATCAGTTATAAATACACCTATCAATTTTTTGTCAAAAGTATATATTATATCACTGTAATTATATGCAGTCGCCAGTTTTTTTTAAACCTTTCAAAAGTATAAAAGTTAGGATATTACTCTAATTTCATACTGATTTGTCAACTAGTACCAATTAGTATCCGTTTGGTATTACATGTTCAGATAGAGGAGTGTACCTGAAGCACCTTTCTGAACCACATTTAAATCGCAATAAATTAAAGCTTTACAAGCCTTAATACTACCCTGTTTAAGTTGATTTCGTATAAAGTGGTTTCTTTTCTGCTCTTTATTTTTTTCCGTCACATCATACTACTCATGTATACTACCACCTATGATTTAGGAATCTGTAACTCATAAAAATTCTCTATTTTAATGCACTACATGTTTATGCGATATTTTAATCTATTTTCTTCATTCTCATAATATTTCGTTCTTCCCCATAATTTGTTTATTTATTTAATCCTTTTTGTCTGTGTTCTATGTTGAATGTTTGTTTATTCAGAACATCTTGTCCACTATAAATACATGGTTCTCAACTTATCTTCGCTACTAATTTGTATATGTTTGACAAAGTTGTACGCTCTTTCTAATTTATAGCATTATTATAATACGATTCTTGTTGACTTTCATTTCGACACGTTATCGATGCCTGTATACTTTTCAATACGAGGCTGTTAAACTGGACTGTCTATGTTGTTTTCTTTAGTACTATACCCTATCTCTTATAGACTTTCGTTTCACATGTCACTCGATGGTTGGTTTGAAATAATTAAATGATTTCTACACTGAGTCTTAACTCATTATAATGAATAAAATGTGTGTACGATTAGTTGTCGTAGCACATTCTATAATACATCTATTTTATACCATTAGTTTTTGTTGTAATGACTGTGATGTGTACTTTTTAAAACAGTATTAATTTGTTTACAGTATAAAATACACTTAAATTGTTATTATTCTAAACATTGGCTTTTCCCCTTTCCTTGTTTGTATATTAATTTGGACTGAGTGTAATAGTTACATTTCAACCACTGGGACATAATTTTTATATATGAGTCTTAGATTTAGATGGTGGTTGGAGGTAGTCAACACCATCTTAATCTCAATATATAGTGCCCACAGTGTCGAGTCACCTGGACTGGTGGCCACATTGCAACATGATCGATAGCATTCGATCTGCACTAATAAGGACTAGACAAGCATGACATTGATCACCACCAAGTGATCAATCAATTGTGATGAGTCTTAGATGTTGATAAAAAGGGAATTGTTCCACATCGTTATCTTCATCAATACTGGTATATGTAAAGGTTTTAGTTAAACTGGATCTGCATCATAACATCATAACTCAGAACATCGATTCCCTCAAGACTTCAAGTATATCTCGCTGATTAATTCTGAAAGACATGAAACTGAGATCCAGTATTTTCTGACTACCTCCAACCACTTAGCATCTTAACACAATGCTTCGCTTACGATTCACTTAAATTAGAACCACATTACAAATTGATCACTAAAATTCGTCACTATAAAGGACTAAACAGACATGACATTGTTAAACATATAGTGGTCAGTCAGTTATAGCTATACATCCATTTGTATTACTAGATAACATAGTTAATTGAAAATTATTCCTAGCTGGTTAATGTCGCATAACTAAATAAGTAGTTGCGGTGAAATTTTACACTTCTCATTTCGAGTTATGGATACTTCAAGTGTTCAATCCCTTTCTATTAATAACTTGTATTCTTTTTGTACGTTTTTCATTCTAGCTTTATATGGAAAAATTATTATGTCATGGTGGCGAGTATCCTCCAGCTATTCTACTTTCGGACCTTTTGAATTGTGATGATGAGATCAACAGTCACAATGTATTATTATCTCCTAAAAAATTAGCTGAAGGTTTAACTGATCAGTTGGAAGAAATGGAAATGGCTTCAACTTCTTTACTGAACCGTATTGAATCACCGAGTTTATTCAGACCAGAATCGTACCATTAACAGCAAGAGAGAAGAGAACTTATTACTTGTGACATATCTTGTAGCTGATGATACCTTGTAAATATATTAACTAATTATTTTCCTAAATGCTCATATATTAATTTGTTGGTTTTGTCAAATAATTTAGAACACGTAACAAATAGAAGCTCTCGTTTTTGGTATAACGTAATTCACTTCTCGCACTTTGACCATTTCATCTCGAACAATGAACGTGAATAACTGTGTTCTTTCCTGTGACAATCACTTACTTTAGCCTGTTACCCCTCTTGGAGCATAGGCGGTCGACTTGTAATCTCCAATCTACTCTGCCCTAGGCTCTCCTTTCCATTTGTTATCAAGTTCTATTCTTCCTTATAATGTCTGCTTCCAATTCCAGGCATAGTGTTTTTTTCTTTGCCTCTTTCTTTTGATGTGAGAATTCCACGTTGGAGCATGTTTTTTGATACAGTTTGATGATTTCCTCGGTATTTCTTATTTCACCTTCAGGATCTTTTCCTGACCTCCTCTTCAACGAGAAGCTGATTTGTTCTCTGCCACAGTAGATTGTTGCTGATGGTGACTTGCCAATAGATATTGAGTATCTTGCGTAGACAACTGCTTATAAATGCCTATACCTTTTTGGTGATGATGGTTGTAGTAGTCCTGCAAGTCTCAGCTATGTACAACCAAACTGTCTTGATGTTTGTATTGAAGATTCTGAATTTGTTGTTGTTTGACACCTGTTTTGAGTTTCAAATGTTCTTTAATTGTAAGAATGCTGCCCTTACTTCTTCAATCCGTGTCTTTTTTGTGCTCTATTGATTTGAGTTCAACTTGATTGGACGATTAATTTAACGGAATATACGTCTCTGCTACCGTCGTATATAATTATCGACTTAATTCTTCTTAAAAAATAACGGAATAGCTACGAAAATGAATATTGAATACATATATTTCATGCATTGATTGATCCAGACAGACAATCAGAAAAACGAAGCGGAGAAGGCAACCGTGCCAATTCCATCTGATCAAGCTTGACACTATTTATAACCAGAAAGAAATAAGCTCTAAACTTACGATGAATAGTGTAAGCAATACTCACACACGCTCATATAAAAACAGTCAATGTTAGTAAACGAATAATTTACAAAGTCAAAATGTGACTCGAGAGGGATAAATAAACTGGTCTCTCCGGAAGCTAGAATAACCTGTGTGGGGTTGACACAGCACCAGGCACTACACTTTCACATCTGCATCAGATCCCCATCATTTATCAGTCATATATCCTAGTTAAGCACGTAAACGTTTCCACTACTTCTAGAGCATAAAATGTTATTGGGTTGATGCTGTGTTATATTTTAGGGTCTTGCTTTTTCCCTTGTGTATGTTGAGGCCTACTACTGCTACGCTGGCTATTTTCACCAGTATTTGTTGGTGAGTATGGGATAAAAGAGTTAGGTCGTCTGCGAAGTCCAAATTGTCTAGTTGCATTCAAGCTATCCATTGTATTCCGTGCTTTCCCTCAGATGCAAAGGTCTTCATAATTCAATCAACCACCAGAAGAAAGAGAAAGGGTGAAAGTAAGCCGCCATGTTTGACACTGGTCTTCACTTGGAATGCATATGTCAGCTGTATTCCATGCACGACTTTGTAGTGTAGTCCGTCGTATGAATCCCGGATGGTGTCGGTGATTTTCTCACATACACCATGGTGTCGAAGAAGATTCCATAAAGTCCTTCTATCCACACTCAAAAGCTTTCTCATAGTCAAGGAAGTTGATGTCTAGTGACGGGTTCCACTCAAATGGTTTTCCAGCAATGATCCGTAGTTTGGCGATTTGGTCTGTTTACTACCGATCCTTACGGAATCCAGTCTGTTGATTTGGAATTTGGGGATCTGTTGAACCCTTCGTCCGGTTCGGCAACACTGTCGAAAACGTTTCCTTTTACTGACAGTAGTGTGATTCCTCTGTAGTTCTCACATTTGCTGAGATCTCCTTTGCAATCTTGATGAGGTATCCTTCTTTCTAGTCCATCGGTGGCATTTGTTCTTCCTCCCGAATCTTCCTGAATAAACTGTGAAGTATGCTTGCAGTTACTTCTATGTCTGACTTCATCTGGTATATTACCAGGTCCTACTGCTTTCCAACTATTGATTGGTCTGATGACCATCCTGATTTCGTTGGCTGTTGGTGGAGGAACAGCTATAAGGCAGTCTGTGTACTGCTTCGATGTATGGTGGATTCAATGGATCTGATCTATTCAAGAGTTCTTCAAAGTGTTCTACCCATCTTTTACTCTGTTCTTAAATCTCAGTGATTATCTCACCTTTGTTCTTGACTAGTCTATCTGGTTTGCTATGTTTCCCTGATAGTTTCTTCGTTGTGTCATATAGCTGTCTCATATTTCCTTCTCTTGAAGCTTTTTCCGCTATCATTGCTAGCTGTTCCACGTATTTCTGCTTCATGACTCTAATGTTGTTCTATACTTGCTTGTTTGCTTCTGTGTATTCAGCTTGACTTTCTCTGCACTTGTTCGGCTGTTATTAATTGTTATCTTCTTGTTCATCCTTTCTTGAACCTTGTTCATGGTTCATATAGAGATCCATTCCTTATGATTATGCTTTTTGTAGCCCAGCACCTCCTGAAACATCGAAGTTAGTGCTTCCTTGATCCATTTACAGTTGTACTCCATCGTATTTTCTTCTTCTTTGAGTAGATCTTGTAAGGCTTGGAACCTGTTGTTAAGAGCTATCTTGAATTGGTTGATTTTGTCAGTATGTCGAAAGAACGCTGTATTTAACCTTTGTAATGCCATTTCTCCAGTTAATCACTCCTTCTATATATGTATTTTTTTTCACTAATGTAAATGTGATCGATCTGGTCCTCTGTAGTGTGGTTCTGTGAAGCTGACGTAGCTTTGTATGGGATCGTAGATGAGTAATGCTGAAAGTCCTGCGCTAGGACCGACGGGATCGTCCAGTGCTTCCACCTTCTCGATGGTGGTCGAACACTAATCATTTCACGATCCCAATAAAAGTGAATAATTGTCATTTAATGTTGTTAAGCTGTGATCTGAGAATTTGTCTTACAACCAGTTAGTTACAATTTTAAAAATCGTTTCACCTATTACTTGATTACCTGAACAAGGATTTTATCTTAAATAACATTGTTGAGGACACCTCGGTTGAGAGACCTAGTTATCTATGCATAAAAATTAACATTTTGTCAAAAGTAAAGGAATACCTCCGACCTTTTATTAACATAAAGTGAACATTTACAAAGGTATGATATTAAAATGAATTTGTATATAAAAGGTTTGAATATGGAGACTGGTCAATTAGTCTTTAGTATCAATAATCGTCAGATTCAAACTGTTTTATGTAAATTCATATCTGTTGAACAAGTTTATGGTTAGCTAAACTCAGAAGCTTAATATAAAGTGGTTTTTCGTTTAAAACATTTTAGGTTATACAGTTCGAGTCTCAATGTGAACAATGACAAGTTGGGCAAAATCAGATATATCTCATACCTATACTCATATATACCATTTCAGTAGCATATAATATTGATCATGGTGGAAGTCATGGCTTACTGTGATTCTAATTATCAGTAGACGTTAGAGAGATACTATGACTAAATACACAAATGCCATTGGTTTTCTTCATAACTATAAAAGTGACTAAACAACTAGCGTTAAAAAAAGATTCCGTCTAATATTATTGTATATTATATCCCTTGTTTTCTATACTACAAATGAATTTCACACAATCTAATAACCACAGGTATGAATAAGCGGTTACGTTTTTTTGTAAATCTATTCTTTCGAATGGTTGTATTATGAGGAGCACTCCGTTATTAAAATTAATTTTTAGTATTGGAATTTGATAGCTGTTCTTAACGTGAGGGACTGAACTAATCAAACAGCATTTTAAATAATTTTCTATCAACTATATGATTATTTTTGTAGATTATGGAACGTACACTTAGATGCAGATTAAGTCTTTTTCCTCAGAAAATGGATAACAGTTAATAATCTCGTATTATTTAACTATTAGATAAACACGCTCGAGTACTCACTGTGACATAAAGCCTGGAAATGACTATATATAACTCAAACTACTTGTTAATAACAAGTAGTATTCCGTGGAACAAAAAAATGGAGTGTTGACGTTTTGTATTTTATTGAAGAGCTAATGTTAAGATATTGCTCAGTTTAAAAGTAATTTTCATCACGAAATAACTCGGGCTGGAGAGTTATTGAAATAGTTAGGAAACTCTAGGTAACTGTTTCTTTTTTTTAGATTGTTTAGTACAAATATTTCATGACATTTAGGACCAAACCTATGAACTTAGAAGTCCTCTCCCCAATGATCCCTCGTCTAAACAACTTTTTTTATCTTACTAGTTATTTGTTTAAGTAGGATTTAGTCGATATACCCAATATAAATTAAATTTTCAGGAATAAGTGAGTCCAAACCAGTTCCTTTTAAAAATTACTGCTCTGATTCATGTGTTGATAAAAGCTATGATATCAGGTTACATATCTGTTTTGTCATAACTGAGGGGTATGCTGTTAGTTACTTTTCAAAGTGATAAGATTGTGCTCGTCAGGTTTATCAGTCTAAATACTCATCATATTACACTTCTCATTTAATAGATGATGACTATAAATTGCGAGCACAGTTTGATTCTAATAAGTACCAATCCACCAATTCAAGTTAAAAATTTCATTGAAAATCTTAAGTTGCTAGTTGTTACATTTCTCTTATTAATACAGTCACGAATTAATTAAAATGATGAAAATCACTTTCAATAACTATAATGCTCTACTGAATGAGTAATTCTATATCTATCTTTTACGAAAGCGGTTACTGAAGACAAGACAACTTTTTCGTACAACAGAAATACGGATAAATAAAGCTAGTTGGTCACTATAAAGAAAATAAAAATGTGACATACTTTCCCTCAATAAAACGAATAAATGGAAACTTGATGATAAGATGAAAATACTACGGAATTA